GACAAAGACATCACCGTGCGCGCGCGCCTCTGCTCGCGACTTCGGCAGCTGCTTGGACGGCGCCGACCTTGGGCCCCGAGGTCGAGTCTTGGACGACACGGGACTTTGGATGCCTGGGGTGGTCTTGGGATTCTCCTCCCCTCCCGGACCTACAGTGTGTGGAGACATTCGGCCTGTCTGGGGCCGTCGCTGGGCTCCCGGACTGTCCAGAAAATGAGCCAGGATGCAAACCTGGCCCTGGGGAAACACAGGCCTGCTAGATAGGGGTCCGCTTAGTTAGAGGCGGAGGATCGCGCCAGTTCGGCGATGCATCGGCGATGCATCAGCGGCGCATCGTCGATGTCGGCGGTGCATCGGCGACGTCAACGTGAAGCAAATCGGGCTCCACATCGAGCCGCATCGGGGATGCATCGGCGATGCGGCGCGATCCTCCGACCCCTTCTAGGAGGCCTAGAGGAAAGGGGGTCGGGACTTCCGGGGGCCCCCAGGCAGATGTCCAACATGAGGATTTGGGCAGGATATCTCGAGCGAAAAGATGTCTCGAGCGAAACGCTTGTTTTCATGCATCCAGGTTGTCCAGGCAGATGCCTAGCATGAGGAGGCGATGAGAAAGTCTCGAGTGAGACGCTTGGTTTTCACATGCCCAGGTCGCCCAGGCGGATGTCTAACATGAGGATGTGTTGAGGATATCTCGAGCGAAACACTTGTTTTCACGTGTCCAGGCCGCCCAGGCGGATGTCTATGTGTTGAGGATGTCTCGAACGAGACGCTTTTCGCAGTAGAGTGCATCGCAGTCCAACCCCGCCCGTCCGTGGGACGCGCGCTGGCGCGTCCCCTCGCGAGTCCCGTGCGACGTGCTGACAAAAACACTGCATCGGATCTTTGGGCTCGCGCCGCGGGGGTGGCCTCCGCAGGCCTCCTGGAGGCCTGCATAGACCTCCGGAGGGCGCTGAGGACCTCCGCGGGCCTCTTGAGGACCCAGGCCTCTGGGGGCCCACGCCGAATACTGCCCGGGCATGCAAACGATCTCGGGGTGGGGCCAAGAGAGCACGGGTGCGACGCCGTGAAGACAAAGGCACGACGACTGGGGTCTGGGTTGGACGGGTGCAGACAGCACCGTCTGACCGGGCCAACTGGCGCAGGAGATTCCGCCCCATTCGAACTCTTTCCTGCCGCGCCGACGATGCGACCACAACGAGCTCCACAAGCTGGCCAGCACCAAAACGTGAGACGGAGTGGTGTCAGGTAGGCCAGGAACGTGGCAAAGCCAACCTGTAATAGGCGAGCTACTGAGCAACACCATGGCCTGGCAGGCAAAAGAAGGCGCGCCGGAAGCGGATACCCCGCGGGGAGCCCTAAATCATGACACCCCACACAACATGGAAGACTGAAGCAAGCGCGCACGCATTGCCAGGCCAGTCCACGACAGTCTCTCCAACAACTGTGCATAGCCCACGCGGTGCCCTACAAAAGAAGGCGGCTCACGATGCTAAGCCACAGAATATGAACAGAATGCTGTCCAAACCCCGCATGGGCCCTGTGCCCAAAGCTGCCGCGTGCACACCACGGAGAGACGAGGGCACGACGCAAATAGGAGACGACTGACGACGACGGTTGGCGGCGCGCAGAAGGGGGTGCGACGAAACGTGCGTGGGCCCTCGAGGAAAGGCGTGGATGGGGCTTCTCAGAAAACCTCCTGCAATCTAAGAAGCCGTCTTCGTACGGCACCTTCGTGCTGTGACGACCCTGGTGTTGGTGGCTGGCACCGCGTCAACCCTTCAACCCTTAAAAATCTGCCGTTTTTGATCGCCTGGTCGTCCCACATTAGCCGATTCTGGGTCACTGGCGGCGTTCAACCTCGAACGCCCGCGGCGGGGTCGCTGCCGCGTTGACACGAAACAAACCTGCCGTGGCCTGCGAGATCTCTTCGGACCAGCGCCCTTCCCTCACTCCATCGCCCCACACGTCTCCTGTGCGCCGCCGCCGAGACAGGGGGAGGCAAAAGCAACGAAGCACCAGAGGAGGGGGGGCAGGAGGGAGAAGTAGGGGAGGAGGGCAGAGGAGATGGGAGGAAGTCAGGAGTAGTGAGCTGGACGCCAGGCCGCGGTAGCCGATGATGCTCCAAGAAATGTCAGCCGACGAGATAGTAAGGGAGAAGATGGATGGGGCGCCCCACATAATCCGATAAGGCGGAGGAGGAGGGGGAGAAGGAAGAGGAGGAGGAGGAGGAGGAGGAGGAGGAGGAGGAGGAGGAGGAGGGAGGAGGGGAAGGAAGAGGAGGATGAAGGAGACTAAAGGAGGGCAAGCTAGGGGCGCTTGCACCCCCATCTGACATCCTACCCCGGCCTCCCATCTCTCCCCCTTGCGCTGATGCGTCTCCATCCGCCAACGGGTGTAATCGCGGACTTGAAAGACCCAAGAGGACCCCATCGTTTTACGCGCAATGTGAAACGGGTAGCTGTAATCATATATTTAGGGGGGAGGTGGCGGATGAACAGGGGGATGAGCAGACGAAAGAGGAGAATGATGAAGAAGGATGAGGACGAGGAGGATCTGCAGCAGCAGGAGCAGGAAGAGCGGGAGGAACAGGAGGACCTGGAGAAAGCGGGGGAGGGGAAAGGAAGGGGTCGAAAACGACGAGGAAGCCAGTTTGGAATTCCCGAAACGTTCCGATTGGAAACGCACACAGGCGAACGCAAGTCGAATCACATCTCTGCTTGTTTGTTGTGTGATTTGTATTAAAAAACGATGGAAGGCGCGCTACTCTCAGGATGTCTTCGGGGAAGAGAGGGGGCAATCGTACGCATGCTGTGACAACCTGAAGTGTGGAGGAGGAAGGACTGGGGAAGGGAGGGAAGAGGGAAGGGGGATGAGGGGGGGGGGGGGGGGCATTCTGGCAACCTCCGACGCTGTGATGTCTGCCTCGGTGCGGGGTCCGCTGGCCTCTCGACCTCCCCCTGGGGGCTTGAATGGGCGGCGCGCCCAAGGGGGGGGAGTGAGAAGGGCTGGGCCACAAGTCGCATCTCCGGCGGCCGTTCGGGACGATCCGGGCATCCCTGGATGAAGGGGCCCTGGGACACACAAATAAACACACACACACAAATAAAACAATTCCCCATATTTTCCTATATTTTCTGGGTTTTTGTCTTCCCCCCCACTTCCCATATTTTCCTATATTTTCTGGTGAATCGACGATTCATTGTGTCTGTGTGTTTTTCTTCCTCCTGACTGGAACGCTCGCGGCGAGGCGCAGCCGCTGGATAGCATCCCGAGGACGGCAAACCGCTAAGAGACGACGGAAATGCCCGCAGACCCCGAACGTCGATCCTCGAACTCGAAAATCTAGAAAATCTCAGACTTCGAACCGAAAACCTCGAACCTCACTCGCCGTCGACTGAAGGTCCTGGGGTCTGGAGCGGGAGGCCCATGGTGAGCGTTTTCTTATTCGGCGTTTCGACACTGGACGGAAAGGGGGGAGGGGGGGGGTCTGGCTCTGGACGTCTGCTTAGTGCGACTGTTTGGGACCGTGCGTCCATTATGGTGGAGACCCCCCTTGCTCCAAACAGGCGCCAAGACCAGCCAAGATCTACTCCATTGGGGGGGGGGGGGGCGAGGGTCCGCGCCGATCGGCAAGCAAATGAAAGAAAAAACGCTCACGTGCCTCCCCGGAAATCTTGACCCTTTCCCCGGTACCGGCTTTGTTTTCTGACGGCCCCCAGGCCGGCGAGGGCCCCGGCGAGGGCCCCTGGGGGCCGAAACTTGCCCAAAACCTCCCGCCCTGCCTTTTTGCAAGCGGCGCGATCGTGTCTGGGGTAGGGGGCCACATGCGAACCCTACTCCTACCCCCTACCATTTCTGAGGGGGAGGGTGGGGTTCACTTCGTCCGGGAGCTCCCGAACGAAGTGAACCCCACCCTGTGCAAGCGCAGTTCAAGGGGGAGGATGTCCACGGTGTACACATGTGCACCGTCTCCCTTGGAGGGGCGGAACCCATGACACGACCGCAGCGCAGGCGCTGCCAAGCCCAGGAATATAGAAGGGCGAAGGCCCACGGAGAAGCATGTGCCCTTTGTGTGTGTGTGTGCGTGTGTGTGTGTGCGTGTGTGTGTGTGTGTGTGCTGGACGGGGGACGGGGGAGTGGGTACAGACATCTGGCGGCCGGAGAACGTTCAGGAGCGGGATGAGGCGCGGACGGGGGGACGGGGCCAAGGGGAGAAGGAGGAGGAGGAGGAGGAGCAGGAGGAGGAGGAGGAGGAGGAGAAGGAGGGAGGGAGGGTAGGACGCGGAGGAGAAGGAGGAGGAGGAGGAGGAGGAGGGCAGGCGGAGGAGGAGAAGTAGGAGGAGGACGAGGAAGGGAGAGTCAACTGTGAGGCTGGGTGGCAAAAACCATCGGCTGCGTCCAGACGCCACTGGTGTGGTGAGCCCGTTGCTCCCCCAAAGGGCTCACACATCATCGACCCGATGGCTACAGCTCGCCAGAGAGAGAGAGGCGCCGTGAGCAGCATGCCCATCACGCTCGGGACGCCTCTCCGGGGACGAGGCCCCTCCCGTACGGGCCGAGGCCCCGCCCCCGCGCAGAGCCAGGCGCGCAGACGCCCCGCAGGCAGCATGAAGCTGGACTGGCAGCTTGCAGTGTCGCGACGGCTGCTTCGAAGCAGCGCCGCCTCCCGGCGGTCCGTGCACTGCGCGGCGGCGGAGGGGGAGAGAGGGACGAGCAGAAGGCAGACGACGGCGAACGCGCAGCCAGGCTCGCCTCCTTCCTGCACTCGGCCCCCAAAGATCCGATGTCATGATTTAAATATTCGATACGGGGTCCCCGAAGTCTCAACACGTTCTCTAGGATTCGTTTTTCGTCCTGAGTAGTTTGTTGACGCTCCATGGGGCACGGTGAGGGCCCCTACGGCCCGAAACTTGCGAATAAAACCTCCGTCTTGATGTTGTTCAATGCGTTGGATCTCTGGGAACCCTCGGCCACTCGGCCTCGTCGCTGGCCCCCCGGGCTCACCCCCTCGGCACCGACAGCAGGCGCTGCTCCGCGGGCCGGAAGACCCCGCTCGTGGCCCGGATCGGGGCCGGGCTCGTGGCCGGGCTCGGCCGGCGGCGGCTGTCCTCTGGCGCGTCTCTGGCCGAGCTGTCTGGTCGCCACCCCGAGGGCGACCTCGCACGGTGGGTGTCCACGCGGAGCGAGCCAAACACGTTCCCCGAGACGATCGGAGTCGGGTACGGGACCTTCACCCAGTCGTTGCCGATGTCGGTGCCCCTGGTCGTCGTGCCGTACATGAGGAGGAAATCCTCCTGGGCCCTGTCGGCCATGTCGGGGCTCTTCCGGAAGCAGAGCCCGCCATTGTGACTGCCCAGTTTGGAATTGTCGGCCCGCCACGTGTCTCCAGCTCCCTGGATCAACACCGGGATGCCACGGATGAACTTCGGCAAATAATAATACTCACTCGCCTCGTCGCAAACAATGCCGCGCGCACGTGCAAACTCAGCGAAGCCGTCTGGAGCCCGCACGCCGAATGGGTGGCACACCGGTTGTGGCTGCTTCGCGTCGATCTCGTCCAGGAGAGGGGTGAAAATACGCCAAGCTTCCACGAGCTCCTCGCTGCCCACGAAGAGGCTCTGGTCACCGGTAGACGCATTCAAGAGCATTCGCTCGTAGGCACCGGCATTGTAGCTTCCAGGGAAAGTCCGGTCATAACTCATGTCCATCTGCACTGGCGCAGTGTTTGTCTGCTTCCATCCTGGGCGTTTGTTAATACACTTGAAGAAGATTCCCTCGTCTGGCTGGATCCGGAAAACAAGCTGGTTGGGCTCTGATGGCACCAGTGAGTTGTAGCCTTGCCGCTTGAAAGTGATGAGGACCTCGGCCAGGCGCTCGTTGAGGCCCTTGCCCGCGCGCATCAGGAACGGCACTCCTCGCCAGCGCTCGTTCTCAACTGTCAGAGCGACCGCGGCGAAAGTCGGACACCTAAGGTATAAAAAAACACGTCATCAACGTTAACTTTCGGGCGTCCGCGCAGATTTCTCGGATCGGCGCTGGACCCCCCCCTCCCTGGCGCGCGGAGCGCGCCAGGGTCGGCGAAGGAGGCGCCGCCAGGGGAGGGGGCCAGCGCCGATAGGGGGCCACATGCGAGCCCTACCCCTGCCCCCCACGATTTCTGAGGGGGAGGGTGGGGTAGGGCTCGCATGTGGCCCCGTAGCCGATCCAAGAAATCCGAGCGGGCCTCCGAAGGCGCATGCTCCTGCTGTTGCCTCCTCCCGGGGCGCCTCGAGCCCGCAGGCACAGTGCTGTCGTCCAGGTAGCCGGGCTCCGCCCGCAGGACGCCGTCCTCGTCTTTGCGCTCCCCTGCCCCGTACTGGCCCAGGAAGCAGTCCTCGGGTCATGATGCTCCAACCTACTTTGGCTTCGACCACCAGAAAGAATTTCGAGCACCAAGCAGATACCGAAACTTGAAGGTGTTCACGTGTCGGGCCATGGGAGGCGATACTCGTTCGACACTGCTTTGAGATACTTTTCTGGGTGCTCGAAATTAATTCTAGAATGTGGTCCTTACGTACGATGGGAGCAGCATGGTCCTCGAGGCGCAGCGTGCGAACGGCCCGCAGGAGCTGGCACTTCTCCCTGGCGATGTGCTCCGCGTCCAGGCGCTTCGGGGGCTCCATTGCCAACCTTAGGAGGGAGCAACTACTGGGAGGTCTCCGTCGGCAGGGTTAAGAACATTGGGGGCTGTATTACGCCGGAATGGGCCTCGGATGAAGCGGGATTGCGCTGGATCAAACGGGATTCAACGGGACTAAGCCGGATTGGGCGGGATTCAGCCGGATCAAACCAGATTTCGGACCAGGGCGAAATCTGAAGTTGACCTCCCGGGAGTTGCATCCGAATCGACCACTGGAAGATCTGCAGCAGGTGGTTCTGCAGCATGTCGCGGATGATCCGCCACCGTGCCTCCCGGCATGGTGCTCGGCTGCCGAGTGATGCCTGGCCGGACCATTACAGGTGGCCCGTGGGCGCCCAGGCTCCAACCGATCGATCAGGGAGGTGCAGGCAAGAACGTTGGGGCAATCGACCTGGCGCGTGCAAATTTCTGCAGCCATCAACTTGCTCGCGACTGCGAGAGGCAACCGCGTTAAGCAAGTCTGTGCAACATGAATATTACAGCGAACGCAGTAAGCGTCTGCATCGAGCAAGCATGCGTAGACAAATTGGGTCACATCTCGTCTTAGTACATATTTGATAACACTGATAGAGTGATCGAATACACTGTCAAGCACTTTACAAAATAACTACGGGTATCATGGAGAACATGGCTTTTCGCTCGTCAGAACTGAGAGACCACTTGATGTGTGAGTACGTTACAAAAGTACGCGGGACACCTTTTTGGGCGTCCCGACAATGCTGTCGAGACATGCGTGAGAGATGCGTCCGCCCTTTCAGGTGCAGACCACCTCCAACGAAGGACGGCCAGGCCAGCTCCAGACGGCGACGCCGAAGCATCGCCGCAGAGGTCCGCGCCCTCGAAGTCCTGCCTGCCGTCATCGCGCCACCACGGGGAAGGCCGAAGAGGGAGCAATCTTGATCTGTGTTTGCTGGCCGCGGCGAGCCTCTCGCCACGAAGAGGTCCGTCGGCCCAGATCGAAGGAGCGGCCAGACAACCAGAGCGCCCTTCGGCACACAAGCTGGTGCTTATTTCAGCGTCCTGGCTGCAGACTTCTAGAAGCGCACACCCACTCCATTCCCCACAGACCCTGTTGCATGGGGTCGCTCCATCCCGAGGCTCTCTGGGCGGCCAGCTCTTCCCCGGGCCCCCGAGGCCCCCAAGTGGCCCAAGGAGGCCTCCGAGATGGCCCCCGGAAGGCGTTCAGGACGCCCACGTGGCCTCGAGGACGACCCAAGAGGCCCCAAGCCAGTACATCTTGCCCAGACAGTGCTCAGGCACCAACATCTTGGACTCTAAACTCACCACACGCGTTTTTCGAAGCATGCTCTCAACACTGCAGCACTTAGCGTGCAAGAAGAGCCCAAGACGGCCCAAGAGTGACCCAACAAGGCCCCAGGACTGCCCAAGAGGACCCCAAGAGGGCCTGGAAGACACAAGAGGGCCAGTAGAAAGCAAACTACGGCCCGACAGGGGCCCCAGAAAGCGCCTAAGCGCTCCAGGATGGCCAAAGAGGGCCCGCCCAAAAACGCCCCAGAGGGTCCAATGAGGCCCCTTGGACGCTCCCAGAGAGACCTAACAGACCTCTCTCTCGCAAATACTTTTACCTGTTATATGTATGCACATACACCACAGATACACACAACATAACACGGCAGACCAATGCGAGCGAGACATGTACTCTGGAAGTGATGGAGGCGCAAGGAGTGCTCGCTGACACGGTGGCGGAACTTGCCGCAGGCTCCTGAATACCAAACTCGTTGAAGTAACCTCCACGGCCTTGCGTGCCGATATCCTCTTTCCAAACAATCTCTACCTGTGCTACGTGATTCCGGTTCAGGAGCGGCTCGTAGATCTGGTTCGCGAAGCGGGCGACAAGCAGGTTCAGAACATTTTCCTTCGCATGGTTTTAACACGTATGTGTCCCATGCACAGGATATTCCAAAGCTGACTGGTTTGCAATGCTTGCCCTGTTATGAGCTTAAGACGGGTCCTAACAAACTAAAGTCACATATAATCGACACACGTGTGTTCCAAAAAAGGTCACCTGCTGCGATCGCCGATCCAATCGCGCGTCGCGGGATGCATTCCGTGCGCGCCCGCTCGGGGATCCTGACCACCTGTGTTCTCACATGCTCTAGCCGTGATCCAGCCGAGGGGTGCACTCCAAGCGTGCCTGCTCGAGATCGCTTTCCCCCTCGAGGCTTCCCGGGCCAGCACAGGAGTGCTGCTCGGGGGTCACGTGCTCCAGTCGCGATCACAATCGCGGGTTGCCTTCTGCGCGCGCCCGCTCGAGGATTCTCACCTCCTGAGAGGCCACCTGCTCTAGTTACGATGACATCGTGGGATACTTGCCACCATTCCGAGTCTCCTTGGGGAGACTGGAGGAGCAAATCATCCTGGCCAAAGACAAGGGCCCGACCATATGCAGGCGTGAGTACCGCAAGGCAGGAGAGACGAGGGAAGGGGAGCTCCCTATGGGGCAACAGGCGTGCGAGAGGTGTGCACAAATGGGAGATGCCGCCATGCGGGCGCTGGCGCTGGCGCCGTTGGTTGAGCTCCCTGCGGGGCCACTAAACGTGTGAATGATGGCCATGCAGGCGCTCCCACTGGAGCGCGGAATTGCCTAGAAGGCCACTAATCGCGTGAGGGTTGTGACGAAATGGGTGCGGCGACTCCATGCGAGCGCAGCCACTGGGGCCTTCGGCGGAGCTCCCTATGGAGCCACGAAGCGAATGAGGGTTGTGCCGAAATGGGTGGGTGCAGCGACTCCTTGCGAACGCAGCCACAGGGGCCTTCGGCGATGGGGCCTTCGGCGAAGCTCCCTCCGGGGTCACGGACCGTGCAATGGGTGTGCCGAAATCAGTGCGGCGACGCCACGCGAACGCGGCCACTGGGGCCTTCGGCGGAGCTCCCCCTGGGACAACGAAACGAATGAGAGGTGCGCCGGCATAGGCGCGGCGAAGCCAAGAGAACGCAGCCACTGGAGCCTTCGGCAGAGCTCCCTCTGGAGCCACGAAGGTTGCGAGGGGTGTGCCGCCATTGGTGCGGCGATTCCATGCGAACGCAACCACTCGGGCCTTCGGCCACGAAACGAATGAAGGTTGTGCCAGCATTCGCGCGGCGACGCCATGCAAACGCAACCACTGGGGCCTGCAGCGGATCTGCCCAGACGGCCACGCGCCATGTGAGGGGTGTGCCGAAATGGTTGCGGCGACGCCGTGCGAAACTCAGCCACTGGGGCCTCAGGCGGAGCTCTCCATGGGGCCACGAAGCGCTTGAGGGCTGTGATGATCATGTGCATGCGGAGGGAAGAGGTCGAGATGGGGAAGATGGAAGAGGGAGAAGGGAGCGGAAGGAGGGGGGAGGAGAACGCCTGATGTTATGTTGCATTCTCGGGAGACCTTGTTTGTCCCGTCGTGGCCCTATTCGCGTTGAGCATGTGTCGAATCCATGTCGAACTTGTCGGATCCGTGTCGAATCCGTGTCGAATCCGCATCGAATCCACGCCAAGCCCGCATCGAGTCCGCATCGAGACCGCGGCAAGCACAAGAAAATATACCATTTTTGAAGACAGGCGAGGTCCCTCGAAGATGCAACGTAATTAGTTTTGTCTTGTTGCGAAACGAAGACTCAAGACCACCGGGTGTTTGAGAATCCCATCATAAACACAAGCTGTCGGATCTCCGCGCGGTTTCCTTGAATCTGCGCTGAAGAAACCCCCCCTGGCGCGCGGAGCGCGCCAGGGGTGGCGCCGGAGGCATCGCCAGGGGGCCCCAGCGCGGATCCCAGAAATCCGCGCGGATCCCGACAATTAGTTGGGGATCTGCTGACCCGGGTCAATGCAGACCCGGGTCAGTCAGGCCTGGCAGGATCTTGCAGGATCCTGCACCCAAGCCCGGGTCGGTGCGCCCCTGGCTCAGCAAGACCCGGCGCTCTGACTGACCCCCGTTTCCTGAGCCCCAGATTTGCGCGTGTCGGATCACTCCGCTTCTCCTGGGGCAGACGGAACCGCTCCCTGGCCGCTGGGCGCACTGCGCGCGCACCCGCGCGCCGACTCTCTCCTAAACCCCGTGGGGTCACCTGCTCCGCTTCTCACTCCCGCCGCGGGGTTCACTCCGTGCCTTTCCCTCGTGAAAACTCTCAGCGCTCCTGGTGATGATGATGATGATGATGATGATGATGATGATGATGATGATGATGATGATGATGATGATGATGATGATGATGGTGTTGATGAGGAGGAAGAATGGGAGGAGGGATGATGATGACGACTCTCAGCGCTCCGTGGTCTTGAGTCTTGGGGCAACGCCAAGGGGGGTCACCACCAGGGGGGTGTCGCCAATGCTTCGAGGACGCGCCACTCCTCGAGGGCGTGGGCCCCCCAAAAGCACGCCAGAGCCTGCCGAGAACGGCACCAAGCGTTCAGAGTCCTCCTCGAGCTTCGAGCCCGGAGCCCTTCGTGACCCCCAATTCGGGCAGGGGATCGACTGCAGCATTGATTGGCCCCAAAACTGATTCCCCAATCGAATCTTCGAAAAATACGTTGAGCGTTGATAGATGTACGGGACAGTTGATCTAGTGTTCGTAGGTTCGGCGGGGCAACCAATTTGGGGTACATCAAATCTGTAGTCGATCCCCTACTCAACAAGTGGCGACCACCTTCGCACTACCCGAAGCCTCCACTGGGATGGCAGGATCGCTCCCTGGGGGTGACACGCTCCCACCGCGCTCCCGTCGCGGGTTGCAGGTTCTCGCCGCTCAAAGGGGCGTGGGTTACCTGCTCCAGTCGCGATTCCGTCTGGAGGTGCACTCTGAGTACTCGCAGGTCCAGGAAGGTGTGGCAGGAGCGCAGGGCTCCCAAAAGTGCAGGTCTCCTACGGCTACGTGGAGAACCTGTGGACGAGGCGCCGTATTCTCCACATTCCAAAAATCGGGGGGTCAGAACTAGTGGCAGGGGCATCTGGTTCGAATTCAAGTAGAGCGCTATGCCCTGCCTCTGCCACGATTCATTCAAGTCGACATCGGAACCGCGCATCGGAATGCCCCAATCGAGCGGAGTCGAATTGGAACCCAAGAAAATCGATTCGAACTGGCCCGGCGGAGTCGGAATGCGCCCTGCAATTGAATGACAAGGGCATCGGGTTTTCACGCCTCCAAGTTTCAGAAAGTGCCGCAAGGGCGTAGGGGCTCACTGTGTCATGTCATCCAGATCCAGAGGGGCATAGCAGAGGGTGCACGGTGCTCACCATTTCATGTCTCCCCGGCCCACAGTCTCCATTCACCATGCGCCCGAATCGTTACGGCTTGCGGGAGTCGCGCTGGAACGTCAGCATTCTGCTAGTAGGGTGCGCTGCCCTGTTGATTATGTTGGATAACACTTTGCACTGCCTCAATATGAACGGTGTGTGTGTGCGTGTGTGCCTGTGGCCCCGTTTCTCCCCCTAACCCTCGCGACCCTCTGCGAGTGACCTGGTCGATTCCTTATGAGCGGATCCCGGTCCGGACGCCGCGTGATCTGGGCCGGCCGCACGCGTCTCTCCGCCGAACTTTCTCCGCCGTGGCGCTGCCCGCGAGGCCGCGACGCCAAGAAAGTGTGTGCGTGTGTGTGCGTCAAGCTAGCCAGCTTGAGCGCACGAGCCTGGCATGCCCACTCCCACCCGCCCTCCCACTCCATGGGAAACACCGTCGGCCCTGGAAACGTGAGCGGCGCCCTGCCCAACGCAAGCACGGCTGCAGCAACGCCAGCCTGGCCATGGACCCCTCCCCCCCGCCCTGGGTCCAGGCGCAGCAGTTCTTGGAGCCGCGTCCCGCCGTGGCGACGAGGGGTGGCCCCAAGGGTGGAAGCCTGGACCCACGGTCCTCGAAACTGAGGGTTCGACTCTCGTCGTGAACATGTGCGGGTTTTCGGGCCATATCTCCGCCCTCTGGCGGCCGTTCGGGACGACTACGGCACTCTTGGGGCGGAGTCTGTTTTTTTCGTCCAGGATCCGTATCTGAGGGCCCTCGGGCCCGAGAACGGGCTCCGACCCATTCATGGTCGAAGCCCGCGGAGTGTTCTCACACAGGGCGGCCCTCTTCAGCAGAAGGCGCAACTAATGTGGGTAAACCGCTCGAGCGCGTCTCACATGCAATACTCCCATCGATGGCAAGGTGCTCCATGTGCGCGGCGCCGAGGCTGTGGACTCGAGACTGCGGAAAACGTAACTGGATGATGCAAATCAAATGCTGCGACCCCTGCCCTGACGACGCAGGCCTTGGTTTCTGACACAGCGTGAACTGTTCAATCTTGAACGATCTCCGCTGCGCCCCCTGGAGGCTCTGGACCCCGCCTTTCGTACGGACCTCGCGCCATACTTTGTCGTCTGTCGGCCGTGGGGCCTGGGGCCCGAGGCAGGCCCGTAAATGGGGTTCAACCTTGAATGCCCGCGCCCCCCGAAGCCCGCAGAAGGTTCTCGCACAGGGCGGCCCTGCTCTCCAAGAGACGCAACTGATGCGGGTCAACCGCTCAAGCGGCAGCGCGTCTGAGATGCCACACGCCAATGGGTAGCAGGGTGCTACACGTGCGCGGCGCCGCGGCGAGAGCGACACCTCGCCGTGGGAAAACTGTGCGACGCGCACGGGCGGGAAAACGCAACTCGCAGAAGACATGTGCGCGGCGCCGATGCGAGAACGGCCTTCCGCCCTTTCGCACGACGTGCGCGCCGCGTGCTATACCTGCCGCGCATTCCGCGACGCCGACGGCAGAACGGCCACCCAGTGGTCGGCTGCGGGATGCGCGCCCCGTCCCATTCCAGCCACACGCTCTGCAGCGTGGGCGACAGAACGTCCACGTTGCGAGCGCGACGTCGACTGCGCATTGTTTTCTGCACTTCGGCTGGGAAGGCCCTGATTGACAGGCTATCGGGGCGCTGTGGTGGAGAGAAGAAGCATACACTGAGACAGAATACGGATTTGTTACTGTGTGGGCCTACAACGCTCTCGTACTTTGCGAACCGTGCTGGCTGCATCCCCGTAGCGTGTCGGAGATGAGTGCGTGCACGTGCGGCTAGGAACTTTTGCATCGCGTGTCGCGGCGACACGCAGTGCCCTGCAGGCGGATAGCGTGTCGCTCTGCTGCGCGGGCGGGAACCTCGGCAAAGCTCGAGTCGCTAAAACCTGGGCACCGGGAAAAGGATACCATTTCGCGCCGAAGCGAGGTGGGCCAGAACCGGCGAAGAAAGACAATATCAAAAGCACATTCCCGACAATGTGTATTGCGTTGCGGATTTCTCGCTCTCCTTCGCAAGGTAGTGGTCGATGCGGAAGATCTGGTCTTCACGGAAGCAACCAGAAGTCGTCGCATTCAGCTCGGCGAAGGTCCGGCTGTCGCGGCCAAATGGCTTCTCGATGATCACGCGCGTGAAGCCCTTGGTAGCACACGCCCGCAGATGGATGTTCTGGCAAACGCTTCCAAACACAGTAGGCGGTACGGACAGAAAGAAGAGACGATTGGCTGTACTGGAGCCCTCCAGCTCGAGCAGAGCAGCATCGAGTTTGCCGAAATCTTCCTCCATGTCATACTTGCCCTGGCAGTACGAGACTTGCTTCAAGAAGTCGTCCCTGTGCGAACCCTGGACCAAGATGCACTGCTTGGCGATGAAATCCTCCAGCTTCATCGCGTTCCGACCATAACCAACAATCCGAGTCGCAACCGGCAACAGGGGCGCATCAGGGCAGGCATACATGAGCTGGTAGAGCGCAGGGAAGAGCTTCTTCTTTGCCAGATCACCGGTTGCACCAAAGATGACGATGGTCAACGTCTCGCCCGCTCCCAACACCCTCACCGTGGCACGCATGTCGGCCGGCCCGGTCGACGCCGTGGCGACCAGCTTCTCCTCTGAGGGCGCCGCTGAGCCTGCAGCAGCACGCGCCTCGCCTCGAGGGAGGGGGCCCTTGGTCGGGGTGTCCGGCGGCGCCTGCGCCCTGGGCGGCGGCGTCGCGGACATCGCTGCCTGCATCATGGCGCCCCTGTCCGGGCCGAGGGCCTGCGCGCACGCGCACCCCCTGCGCGCTGGGTGCTCCCTGCGCTCCCTCCAGGGGGCCGCGGCTGCAGCCCAAAAAAGGCCTGAGGTACAGGTGCTTCGGATGGCGGAGGGGGCGGGGGGGGGCGAGAGAGGAGGCAGGGGTCATTAGAGGCCTCCCAGATGGGGTCGGAGTAGATGGGGTCGGAGGATCGCACCGCATCGCCGATACAGCGGGGATGCATCGGCGATGCATCAGCGATGCACCCGCGATGCACCGGCGATGCACTGGCGATGCATCGTCGACGTCGGCGGTGCATCGGCGACGCCGGCGCGGAGAGAATCGGGCCCCGCATCGAACCGCATCGCCGATGTATCGGCGATGCGACGAGATCCTCCGACCCCATCTACTCGGACCCCATCCAGGAGGCCTAGAATCATTGCTCGATTTCGGGTACGCGGTGCGAATACAGTCTGGCCAAAAGGTACCGAAACCGCTACTCCCTGGACCTCTCCCGGGGTGCGTTCTGACGAGGACTTCGGAGCGAACCCAGCCGTGGCGACGAGGGCCTCCCAGGAGGTCCAAGAAGGCAAACACGAGAGGGGTAGCGATCCTCGCAGGCAAGGCTCTTTCTAGAACGCCTGATTTATCGCCCCCACCTAAGCCAGAATCACATCCCTCGCGAACGTGAGACCCTCCGTCGGCCAAGACAAACACAGAACATCCAAATATACCCTCCAACAGGATCCAGGAGAACATAACACAAGGGCACCCTCCCTGAATAGACACCCTCGTCATCTGCCCCTTCCGCCTGCTCGCCCCAGGAGGCAGCAGCAAGGGTGGATTTCCTCCCGCTCACCAGAGCTGTGTCCGAAGAGGGCTGGGCCAGTGTACAAGGCGAGGCCATGCCGAGGAGGGCTCCCCTCCGGGCTGCCCTCTGGCAGCTGTCCCCGCAGCGCCCACTCCACGCCCACTGCGGCCGCCATCCATCCCGAACCGACCTCGCTCTTACACCTCGGTCCGACTGTGCGCGGCGCCCAAGACGCTTTCGTGTGCTCGCCCCCGTGCCTGGGCCCGCGGGCGCCGGCTCCGGCGGAGCGGGCGGGGACTCGGGAGCAGCGCCCGCGGCGGGCGCTGCGGGCTGGGCCTGCGGTGGGACGTCCTGCTCCTCGTCGTCCTGCTCCTCGCCCTCCTCGTCCCCGCCCTCCTTGTCCTCCTCCTCCTCCTCCTCCTCCTCCTCCTCCTCCTCCTCCTCCTCCTCCTCCTCCTCCTCCTACTCGCCCTCCTCGTCCCCGTCCTCCTCTCGTCCTCATCCTCCTCGCCCTCGTCATCCTCCTCCTCCTCATCCTCCTCCTCCTCATCTCGCCTCCTCGTCCTCCTTCGTCCTCCCTCCCTCCTCTGTCCTCCTCCTCCTCCTCCTCCTCCTCCTCCCTCCTCCTCCTCCTCCTCCTCCTCCTCCTCCCCCTCCCTCCTCGTCCCCGTCCTCATCGTCGTCCTCCTCCTCCTCATCGTCCTCCTCGTACTCATCATCGTCCTCCTCGTACTCCTCCTCGTCTCGTCGTCCTCCTCTTTCTCCTCTTCTCCTCCTCCTCTCCTCCTCCTCCTCCTCCTCCTTCTCTTCCTCCTCCTCCTCCTCCTCCTCGCTCTCGTCCTCCTCCTCGCCCTCCTCGTCCCCGTCATCCTCCTCGTCCTTCTCCTCCTTCTCCTCCTCCTCCTCCTCCTGGGACGGACGACTGGCAGTCTGGCGCTGCTGGCGAGGGAGCCCCTGCCATGGGCGCAAAGTGTCGCACAGCGGCAGCCGTGGGGGAGGGCACTCCGCACTCCAAGAACATCGAGGAGCTTATTCTCCTCGTCGTTGCGCGGCTCGGCCAGGAGAACGCACAGGGCATGCGCGCAGCTCGGGCGACCCCACTCAAGACTATGATTTTCTAGAAAGGCGACGTGATCACTGTCGCCGTCCTCAAGGGCGTGAGGTCTGACCCTGACAGTGCCAAACAAATGCAGCCTGAGCACCCACCCGCCGTGTATACCTGGGCAGCTGTCATTTGTGCGGCGGCGGCCGTCGATGGTCCGAGCAAGCCCGCAAAAATGCCACCATCGCGCGCCGACAGCAAGAGAAGGACCTGGGTCAGCTGACGGGCATCATCTACCATGCGCGGGCATGGATTCACCTCAACGATGTCCAACGTGGAAAGCGGTCAGGACGTACGGCGGGAACGACTGCAACTGACAGCAGCCAAAGCTCCCAATCCCCGCACGTCGTCTGAGCCCAAATTGGAACCAGGCCTGCTCGGCGTCGTGGGAGTCCTTGGAATAGGAGATCGCCTTCAGAAATGCTTTACATCCAACTTGACTTGTGTGTCGGATCTATAGGAGGTACGTGACATGTTCGTATATCTACGAACATTATATACACTGTTGCGTATATCCAACGGCACAGTACATGAATTCTGTAACCGACCGCGGGCGATAATAAAGTACCTTCCCCCACCCCTTCACCACCTCTATTTTTTTATCCCCGACCACAGGGATCTATCTGTGGGGAAGGCGCGGAGGCCAAACTATAGAATCCACGGAAAAGTTGCGGGGATCGAAGTTGCTATCAGATCATGCTGATTAGCAACAGCATCAAAAACGCTGAGCATGGCCATGGTGGTCTCACCACACCAGTTTCCGCAATCAATCACGCCAGCTTCGCAAGTAGCCACGGGCCTCGAGATCGCTCGAGTCAGGCTTCTGTCGTGCGCCTGGTTTAACCTCCTCCTCCTCATCCATCATCGTCGTCATCATCATCATAATTACCTTACCTTCCCTGAGAAACTCTGTCATTATCCCCGCGGGAACCGCGAACTTTATTATCCCAGGGGGTTTATTATCGCCCGCGGTCGGTTAGTCGATCTCCTACTCGAATCCTTGCCAGTGGAGGTCTCCATTGGCGCGGGGGTGCGGGGGCCTCGTAACCCACGGCATCCTGCTGAGAAACCTGGCGTTGCGAAAATTTGGCGACTGTGTTGCCCGTGCACTGGAGACAGCCTTCCGGCATGTCTGGCCGGCACGGCATGCCGCAGCACCCTCCGCTGCTTGCTTATCCTTTCCCGTCCTCGCCTCTCTGGCACTTCTGAGTTTGCGTTGCCTGCTGTCGTCTTCTCCTGGCTCCGTGGCCTCTCTCTCTCTCTCTCTCCTCTCGCCCGTCGTTCCCTCCTCCTGCACTTGTTCCCTTTTCGCCATCGTTGCTGCGTTATGCGCCATATTTTGACGCATAACCTGCAAGTTTGTTCGTGCTGGCCGCAGGGGCAATTATTGGCACGCCTCTTGAAACACTCCTCCTTTCACCACATTTTCGTACACGGGTTTATCTTGCACGCATCGTTGAGACCTGTTGTCCACCTTCGTCTTCCTGGGCTAAGCCCTGCTGCCCTCACAGTGAGCTTGTGTGCATGCACCCCGATGGGCGTCAGACGCGTTCTCTGGCGGTCACGGTATCCTGTGAAGGTCGGCTTCCGTCCGTCATCTTTTGGTACGTGCGTCCCCGAGGCTTCGCATAGAACGGCACGCTGTCCAGAATCCCCTCGTAAAGCGCCCTCTGGTTTTGCACGGCAGGCCGTGCTTGCGCCGAGTGCCATGTGGATGGGCTTTGGATTGCTGCGCACGTTGCTACCCCATTGTGGGGTCGCCGCTGAATGACACGGCTTTCTGGGTCCTTTTTTGTTTCAGACCCCAGCTTTCTCTGCCCCGGCCAGTGGGGCAAGGACACGTAGAGGCGGTGCGGCATGGGAGCTCAGACAGGTTCCACACTTCTTTCGTTTAATTTCTCATGATCATGACCTCGCCGCACGCGCCTCCTCGCCCGTGCCAGAAGCAGCATGGGATGTTGCCCACACCCTGCAACTGGCATTGGGCTTCGACAACAATCTCCCACGGAAAACGGCACATGCACACGACACTCAAAGAATGAAACTTCATCTTTCTGCGCACGCTTCCGTTAAGCCTGTGGTAAAGAGCATACTCCACGCTGATCAATTTTCAGGGGGCCGCCACATGAAACGGCCAGGCGTCCAAAGGTGACCTAGACAGGGGCATCCAGCTCTTGCTCGACCAGTCTGGAGCGGTGGTAGCAGACGACGATTGGATCCTGGAATGGGGTCAGTATGTGAGTTGATTGCTGCGCCAATCGGTCCCTCAGCATTCTCGCTGTCCGCAGTGCCGCCGTTGCACAACATACGCTGCACGACATATGCTGTACCGGGTAGAAACCACGGCATTTGCTGCACAATATAGATTGCACAACCTACATATAGCTGGAACACACACTGCTGGGGTCCACGAGGGGTAATCTACCTAGACACTCATATACTCGAATATACCAGCATGCAAGTGTGCGTATATAGATACATATACACCTATGCACACGATGTGTAACACACGACTATATAAACATATTTAGCTCGACGCACACTTATGCACAATGACGCGCGCATCACGGCAACTGTAGACACATCGAGCACCGTGAACAGATCCACCTGCGACAGCCCCCCCCCCTACGTAGACACTCGACATGAGACAACGAAAAACTAACAACGCCAGGCGGCGAACGGCTCCACTGCAGCAGGATTAGTATGATTCGGCCCCCCTCGGTCGACGCATGGGCTGGATCCTGCGAGCAAGGCGCTGCTATGAGGGGGCAGCGGGGGCTCCCAGAAAGGATCGTAAAGGGACGCAATGACGCACAAATGAATTCACTTGTTCCGTTGCAGCGCGGCGGAGGTAATGCGCACGCGCGCTCTAGGGAGTCGGGCTACGACAAATGGATACACACACACGAATCTCACGATGTCAAATATGGTTTCTTATTATCTAGGTGGTCGCATTCCCTCCAAGCCTCTTGTATTTACCGATATTGTCATGGAAATCGGCGATCAGTTGTGTCTGTGCTGACTTTTCCCCGGCCCCTCAGATGGCAGCATTGGGCTTCCAACAAACGGGGGGCGGCGTGCCTAGAAGGCTAGCACCCCTGCCCCGACAAAGAACCCTTGTTGAGCGTCGCCAAGGGTGGGATCGGGAGGGAGGGGTGGGGGCAAAAAGGGCCAGAAACATCCAGCAGAAGCCGTCTCCAGCTCCTCCTCCTTCTCCTCCTCTTCTCCTCCTCCTACTCCTCTTCCTTTCCTTCGATCCCCTTACCTCAGCAAGACACCTGCACAGCAAGGCGCGTAGCGCAAACAAAATAAAGAGGAAGCGCGGCACGAGCAAACTGAGGACATAACGATGCAACACGCGCCTGCAGCAGCAGCGAGACGGAGGGAATGCGAATCCTCATGCTCCTCTTCCCCGACTCCTCCCAATCCTACTCCTCCTTCCCCCCTCTTCCCCACTCCTCCCGCCTCCGAAGGACTACCCCTGGCCCACGCGGGGCGCGCCTGCATAACCTCGCCTCCGCGCCCTTGCTTGAGCCTGGGTTGGCGGCGCCGAAACGCGGACTGGATGCGCACCGCGGCGGTGATCTCCTGGATGAGGCACAATCGAAATAGATACGGAACAACGGGTGAGATGCCCGACCGAAATTCCTGTCCACTTTGACTAAGACTCGCTGTCGGTGTCGCCGCGGACGTTGCCCATTTGAGACAGAAGGCCGCCTGCCCAACAGCGACCGCTGTCGGTTTTGGGCAACAACTGTTGTCAAGTATCGGGCCCATTTTTACGTACCAATTTTAGAGGGCTCCTAGATGGGTTCGGAGTAGATGGGGTCGGGGGATCGCGCCGCATCGCCGATGCATCGGGGATGCACTGGCGACGCATCGTCGACGTCGGCGATGCATCGGCGACGTCGACGTGAAGCAAATCGGGCTCCACGTCGAGTCGCACCGACGATGCGGCGCGATCCTCCGACCCCATCTACTCCGTTCCCATCTAAGAGGCCTTGGGCGGCGCTCCAGCAGTCCAAAGACCCCCAGGCGACTCAGCCTCTGCCTCTTGAGGCCCAGCCGTTTCGGGTTCGCAGGGGCGCGGAACGAGACCTCTTGCTCGAGACGCAAGAGCAAGTCCCTAGGGATGGAGCCGAGGGGCACAGCAATCTCAGGATCGAATGTCGTGGCATGGCGCTGCGCAGCACAGAGCAGCAGCGTGGCACACCATGCCAATCAAGGCATATCAGAGAAGAGCGAGCCCAGCACAGCACGGTGCATCAGAGCGCCGCGCAGCGCAGCAGTGCATCGCGAAACTTGCGCCCGTGGCCTCTCCTCCTCCTCCGCCCCCCTTCTCTCGACCCCGGCTCCCCCTCCGCGCACCACCGTGACCCCCTCTGGGACCCTGTTGGGAAGAGCCAAGGGGGAATGATCTTCCAATGGCCTCCGCGCAAATCCGCCTTTCTGGAGCTCGTTTGGCCCGACCACGGCCGATCCGGCCAGTTCCCCAGAAATCGTGTCAGGGGGCACGATTGGGGGATTGAGAAACCTCCTTGGCTTGCACCTCGGGGGTCAGGATCACCTGGGCTCACAAGGCAAACTCCAATCAAAATTCAACCGTTCCTTAGACTTCTCTGCCCCTGATACCTCGTGCTTCCCATTGCTCCTGCTCCTATTGCTTGATCGACTCCCTTGGCGCTGAAAGAGAAGGGCCCCGAGGGAAACAAGTTCTTGATCCCTGGCTGCCCCCAAGAACACATTCCCATCCAGCGGATTCTAACGGTCCTGGGGCCAGGAGAGGGGCACCGGGGACGCCGCGAAAGTTCAGGACCCCTTTTGGGCGGCGCGCACAAGGGGGTATGGGGAGGGGGGGAGGCTTCTTAGAAGGGGGGGTGCTTCTTAGGAGGTGCCGGCCATACATCTATGGATAAGGCTCGCGCCTTCTCCCACCCATTCCCATTGCCCCCGCTCTGTGCGTAGCAAACGAAAATGGCGGAAACATTCAGGACCCCTATCCCCGAGGACCCCTGGTGCGGGCCATGTCTATATCCACATCCAGTGCGTCTTGGAGTTTCGGGCTCTCTTCCCCAAAAAAAAGGGGCGCACTGGATCTGGATTTAAATCTGGCCCCCAAAAAAACAGATGTTATCCATATCCAGTGCGCCTCGGCCTTGCAGCGCCCCTTCCAAGAGAGTCCAAGACGCACTGGATATGGATATACATATTCCCCGCACCTGATCATCACGGCGAGCAGCGATTCTCCTCCCGATCCTCCTCCTGCCGCGGGCGCCCGCTGGTCCTTCGCGAGCCTCGCCTTCTTCTTGCGCCGCCAGAGGAACTGGGAACCGCGCTGTTATTTCGGATGCCACGCTCGAAGCGAAGAACGCGCCGTCATTCCGTCGTCGTCTGGCCATACATAAGGGCAACAAAAAAGCAAGAAGCCTTCCACACGACCCCAACCCTGAGACCCCAGGATGTCCACCGATTTTTAGCGTGGGGACGTTGCCCTTTCCACAGCAAAGCCATCGAAACCCAAGGAACCCAGGGCACACTGGAGGCAAGTAGGGTTTTTTTCTAGGCATGGGCCCGCACTGTACCCCACTCGAGATCGCTCATGGAGTCCCTCCTGGAGTCCACCCTAGCGAGTGGTCCACACCAGATCGCTCTCTGACGGCCAGAGGGCGAAAAAACGGCCGCTGGGGTCCGCCCTTCAGCAAACAAGCGCTCGAGCGCCGAACATCAGGGAGAGTCGTCGTCGACATCGTCGCCGCCGTCGTCGTCGCCATCGTCGTCGTCGTTGTTGTCGTCGTCGTCGACGTCGTCGTCGACGTCGTCGTCGTCAACGTCGTCGTCGTCGTCGTCGTCGTCATCGTCGCCAGCGACGTCGTCGTCGTGTCGTCGTCGTCGTCGACGTCCTGCGTCGTCATGCGTCGTCGTCGTCCTGCGTCGTCGTCGTGCGCCGTCGTCGTCGTCGTCGACGTCGTCGTCGTCGACGTCGTCGTCTTCATCGACGTCGTCGTCGTCGTCGCCGTCGTCGCCGTCGTCATCGTCGTCGTGCGGCGTCGTCGTCGTCGACGTCGTCGTGGTGCGTCGTCGTCGTGCGTCGTCGTCGTCGTCGGCGACGTCGTCGGCGACGTCGTCGTCGTCGCCGTGCGTCGTCGTCGTGCGTCGTCGTGGTCAGGCCGCCGTGGAGGTCCGTGCGCGGTGAGGGTCCCCCCCCGAGACCCCCATAGCGGCCTCCGCAGGAGGGCCGTCGTGGAGATTGATGCCCATATTTCCGAGTCCTTGCCACGACGACGCTCCTCCTGGTTCTCCTCCTCCTCCTTCTCCTCCTCCTCCTCCTCCTCCTCCTCCTCCTCCTCATCCCCCGCCTTCTCCTCCTCCCCCACATCCTCCTGCTCCTCCTCCTCCTCCCCCTCCTCCTCCTCCTGCTCCTCCTCCTCTCCCTATCTCCTCCTCCTCCCCTGTCTCCACCTCTCCACCGAGCCCGACGCAAACATAATCCGCCCGCGCGCCACATTCGGTGGGGGAGCCCATCGCCCAGCCCGGCGACCCCAGGGGAGCTGGGGGGCACCGCACCGACGGGCCCTGAGAAAGGGAGGGGACACGAACGAGGGGGGGGGGACAGAGGAAAGAGGCGCCAGCCTCCTCACGTGCTGCACCTTACCCCCCCTCTTCCGCATGCTTGGCGCACTCCCTGTCGCACCACCAGGGCGTGTCCACAGCTGCTAGGCCGGGCGGCTCGCTGCACACAGGTGCTTGCCCTACGTACACGGAGCTTTAAAGGCAGCAGCTGCAAGGAGAGGAGGGGCCGCGCTCGCCCGAGCGCCGCGCGCACTGTTTGTAGGCATTGCCCAAAGATTACCACAGGACAGGATGGCTCGTGTTCCAACCTCCTCGTGGCCCATAAGGGGGTCCAGCTGAAGGGGGGTGGCGCAAGAGGTGTGGCGCAAGTGTATTTCGAATGTATGGCACCGGAGAATCGTATTGCACTGTGTTGCATTGCACTGCCCGCTATGTGTTCTACACGCGCCCAGCAATGCTTACAAGAAGGATGGAGGCAATTTCGTTTTCCAAAATGGGGCTCTCGCCTGAGATTTCCTTAGGCCCTATGACCTAACGCTCTATAACCTATGGAACAGGCACCTTACATACACTTGTGAGCGTTTTTTTGCTCGGTGTGCCAACATTTGGCGGAAGGGGGGGGGGTCTAGCTCCGGACCTCTGCTTAATGCGACTGTTTGGAACCGTGCGTCCTATAGGGGAGGCTCCACCTGCTCGAAACAGGCGCCAAAAAACAGCCAAGATCTACTCCAGGGGGGGGGAGAGCGGGGGGTACGAGGACCCGCGCCGATCGGCAAAACAATGCATAAAACACGCTAACCTTATTGAGGCAACTCATGTTCAACCTCGGGTAACCGGCTGCCCCTGGGCGAAGAAATTCTACCCGCGACGATCGAATGTAGCTCTTCCAGGCGCCACCAACCACCGAGGTGGAACACCTCCGGAGCCGGGCAAGACACGCGGAGCGTCCCCAACGGCGAACTTCCCAGAGAGGGAGGAGACCGGGGAGGATATTGGCCCTTTGCCCTTGGACGTTGTGCCACTTCGAGGGTCAAAGAATCCAAGAGTTCGAACGCTTCTGCTCGACGCTCTGCTCCCGCTTCCGAGCGTCTGGAGGCCTTCGTTGACCTCTGGGCCAGAGACCAGGGCTGGCAATGTGTGGCCTCCAGGGGCTGTCTCTGGGGGCCCACACTGTCAAACAACCGCCCTGTACGACGGCTTCTTCCCCCAACCATCCTGCGGTGTTGGGTCATCGTTTTGAAGAGACAGCGCCCCGCGTCACTCACTCCTCTTTCCTGCTTCCCCTCCTGTGTCCCTCAACCTCCCTCCTCCCTCCTCCCTCCTCGTCGTCAGTTCGGCATACCCCTGACACGCTTCGTGGCCTCATAGGGAGCTCCAGCCCCACATGCCAAGGTTCGCATGGCATCAGTACCTCGTTTGGGTCACCTCGGCACACCCGTCACACGTAGCGTGGCCCCATCACGAGCTCCAGCTAAAGACCAAATGCAAGGGATCGCTTGACATCGGTGCCTCATTTCGGCACACCTCTCAAGCGTCGTGGACCCATAGGGAGCTCCAACTGAGGCCCAAATGCCACGGTTCTCATGGCGTCGGTGCCTCATGTCGGTACGCCCCTCACACGATTCATGGCCCCATGGAGAGCTCCAGCTAAGGAGGACCACGTGCCAGGGTTCGCATGGCGGCGGTGCCTCATTACGGCACACCCCTTACACGCTCCGTGGCCCCACAGGGAGCGCCAGCTGAAGCTCAAATGCCAGGCTTCGCGTGGCATCGGTGCCTCATTTCGGCACGCCGCTCACGCTTCGTGGCCCCATTAAAAAAAACTAAAACTAGGGCCCAAACGCCAGGGTCCGCACAGCTTCGGTGCCCCGTTTTGGCACGCCCCTCACGCGCTTCGTGGCCCCATGGGGAGCTCTCACAAGCCAGGCGCTCGCGCAGATCGGCCGGGCAGGCACGGGGCTACCGTGCCGCAGAGTGCTGCGCTGTAGGACAAGCGAAAGGTGGGACTGGCCCAGCACAAAAGCAAGCGCCTCCATCTCTCCCTGGCCACTCCAACCAGGTCCCAGCCCCTGCTCGTTGCTCGGAGCCTCGGAGCATCAGGCACAAGAAGTCTCCTGCTCGCTGCTCACTCCCCGCCTCCTCTCTCCAACCTCCTGTTTCATCTCTCCTACCTTGAAGGGAAAAGTGGGTCACACAAATAAATACACGCAAATAAAAGGATTCCCATATTTCCCCATATTTCCTGGGTTTTTGTTTTCCCCCCCACTTCCCATATTTTCCCATATTCTCTGGGGAATCGACGATTAATTGTGTCTGTGTGTTTTTTCCCCTCCTGAAAGTGGGCCACTGAGGGCGGCAGGACCGCCGCGGGGCCGCCTGAAGCCGCAGCGCTGTCCTCGCCCTTGTCCAGAACGTGAGGCCCTGGTCCTGACAGCGCTTGCGCGAGCGATTGCGGGACCGGGGCAGCAGATCATCGCAGTGACGACGATGAAGATGGCGATGGCGATGGACGAGGTCCCCTGTTGCTGTTCCCCCCGGCCTTACTCCAAGTGCCCCCACACGCGTGCGAGAGTATGCGCGCCTCTCTTGGGCGCCGCGGGCCTAAACCAAGTGAGCACTGAGATGACGACGATGGTTGCTGTTGTGCGGGCGATCGGCCAACCCTACTTCACGGGTGGTGCACAACGTGCGCAACATTGTGCAATATTGTCCCGACCGGCTAGACGACACCGCGCCCGTATGTCATTAAACCAATGCGCAAGGTCGCTTCGGATGCGATGCGGGAAGGGACACGGGCAGCGGAGAAGGCAGAAGAAACGCCCTGAGATCCGACCCGACCCTCTCCCCAGGGCCGGCTCTTCATCACCCGAGCCGCTTTTGGACGGCCCCGGGGCCCGACTCGGAGGCGCGCAGAGGGGGGGAGGGGGAGGGGGGAAGGCTTCTCAGAAGGGGGCGGCTTCTTGGAAGGCGCCTTACATTTACAGACAAGGCCCGCTCCTTCTAAGAAGCAGGGGTGCTTCTACGAAGCCTTCCCCCCTCCCCCTACTCACCCCCCTCTGCCCGCCGCCAAGAAGGCCCCCATAGGGGCCGAACACGGCGAAAACCTCCCGCCGATCTTTTTCTTCCCAGGGCGCGAGCCAGTCTGGGTCTCCCCTGCCTCCCTCTGGGGGGGCGGGGCCGCCCGCCCGCGGCCGAGCCCGACAGGGAGGAGGAGAGGAGGAGGAGGAGGAGGAGAGGAGGAGGGGAAGGGAGGAGAGGGGGGAGGGAGGAGGGAGGGAGAGAGGGAGGGAGGGAGGGAGGGAGGTAGGAGGAGGAGGATGAGGAGAGAAGGAGGAGGAGGAGGAGAAGGAGGAGGAGGGAGGAGGAGGACGAGGAGGAGGAGGAGGAGGAGGAGGAGGAGGAGGAGAAGGAGGAGGAGGAGGAGGGAGGAGGAGGAGGAGGAGGAGGAGGGACACTGGCCGGCAGATGAGGGCGAGCAGCCCCAGCAGCAGGAGCAGCGGAGCAAGGGACGAGGTCCCAAGGCCAACTCGGTGGCGCGGCAGGCGCGGAAGAATCTCCACGGCAGACTCAGGGGCAGCGGCAGCAGCCGCGGCGGCCGTCTAATCAGTCGTGCTGCTCAGCTGGGCCCTCGGGTCCGAGAGGAATGCGCGCAACTCGTCCTCAGAGATCGAATCGCCATGCTGCGGACCACGACCCCAGAGGTCCCTGCCAGAGTCGGCATACGCTCCTCCTCGTTGTGCTGCTGCTTCTTCTTCTTCTGCTGCCCGCCAGCCTTCGGCCTGGCAGCAGGCCCAGCAAGAAGATCACCAACATCACGAAGATCACCAGGAGGATCCCCATCGCCGCAACGATCGGCAAGAAGACGGCTCCCAACATCATGCCGCAACGATCGGCTGGAACTCCCTACGGAACGCGTGATGCGGACTGCGCCAGTGGGACGTTCGGTGGAACGCCCTACGAGACCACGAACCGCGTCAGTGGTGCGCCGCAATCGGTAAGGGTGCAGCATGCGGACTGTGCCAGTGCGACCTTCGGTGGAGCGTCGTATGGGGCCACGAAGCGCGTGAGGGGAATGCCGAAATTGACATGCGGGGGGCGGCATCAGCAAGGAGAGGAGCAAACAGAGGAGGCGGAGGAGGCAGGGGCGTTGGGGCGCGGCGCCGCGGATTCAACAGGAGGGCCCCAAAACCACCGGATGGCCAGGAAAGCCCAAGCCGTCGCGTGCCCGGGGCGGGGTCGCAGGGCGTACTCATCGGAGGCCCCTCGTGGAGGCCCCCATCGCGCAGTCCCCCTCGCGACGGGCCCCTTCTCGCGCAGGCCCCCGCGAGGAGGCCCCCATCGCGGAGGCCTCCTCGGAGGGCCCTCGCGGACAGGCCCCCATCGGAGAGGCCCCTCGCGAGGGCGTCGCGCGGAGGGACCCTCGGAGCCCCCTGCGCGGGCCCGCGGCGCGACGGCTCGGCGGGGCGGCGTCCGAGGCGACCCACTCGAGCGCGGCCTCGAAGTCGTCCGCCCGCTCGGGCGGGTCGGCGCCGCCCCAGCACTCCCAGACCTCGGACTCCTCGGACCACTCCTGGGCCGCGGCCGGGGCGGAGGCGGTAACCAGCCTCGAACTGATCCCTACCCCTAAGATCGGCAAGCCCAAGGCGATGACAATCTTAGGGATTTGCCCTCAGAAACTGAAGGAATCCTTCGGGTCAGCACCGAGGTAAGGTGATGCCAAACATAGGGATAGGGATATGTTTCCAGCTGGTAATCTGGGGGGCAGAGAAAGGAGGAGGGGCAGGAGGGCGCATGGAGGGACGCTGCCAAGAGATTGCAATCTCCCTAAATAGCACTGCGCCGCCAGAGCCCGAAACAGGGCGGCACCGCCCGTTGCGAAACAAACTGCAATCCCAGGATCTCAGGGCACGCCACCGCCAACACCGAGTCCATTAAAGAAAGAAAGCTGTCCTGGCGAAGGACTCAACCATACGCGAGTGTGATTTCCGCGGTTGGGAGAATTGTCTTCGGTGAAGCTCCCTACTGCGTCACGAAGCGCGCGAGGGGCGTGCCGTAATGGTGGTGGGAGGTGATCGCATACGAACTGTGCCATTTAGACCTTCGGTGGAGGTCCCTATGGGGCCACGAAACGTGTGAGGGCTGTGCCGAAGCAGATCTGGGGGTCCGCATGCGAACGTCGCCACTGAATCCTTCGGAGAGGCTCCCTCTGGGGCCACGAAACGTCTGAGGGGTGTGACTGAACGGGAACGGCGGTACCATGCGGGCGCGGTGACTGGGGCCTTCGGTGGTGCTCACGATGTGGCCATGAAGCGTGCGCGGGGTCTGTCGACACGGGCGGGGCGGCCGCATGCGAACCTCGCAACTGGGGCCTTCGTTGGAGCTCCCCATGGGGCCACGAAACGTGTGAGGGGTGTACCGAAACGGGTGGGGCGGGCGCATGCGGTTCTGTGGAGATCCCTTCAGTGCCACGAAACACATGAGGGGTGTGCCGAAATGGGCGGGGCAGACGCATTCGGGCTACGCCACTGGGACGTTCGGTGGAGCTCCCTACGGGGCCACGAAGCGTGCGAGGGGTGTGCCGAAATGAATCTGGGCGGCCGCATGCGGGCTGCGCCACTGGGACCTTCGGTGGACTACGGGGCCTCGACACGCGTGAGGAGTGTGCCGGAATGGGTGGTGCAGACGCATGCGGGCTACGCCACCAGGACCTTCGGTGGAGCTCCCTATGGGGCCACGAAACGTGCGCGGGGTCTGCCGGAACAGGTGAGGCGGCCGCATGCGAACATCGCAACTGGGGCCATTGTTGGAGCTCCCCATTGGGCCACAAAAACGTGTGAAGGGTGTGCCGAAACGGGTAGGGCAGCCGCATGCGGGCTACGCCACTGGGACCTTCGGTGGTGCTCCCTATGAGGCCACGAAGCGTGTGAGGAGTGCGCCGAAATGGGTGGGGCGGACGATGCGGGCTGCGCCTCTGGGACCTTTGGTGGAGCTTCTGTTGGGGCCACGAAAGGCCGGGCGGCCGCATGCGGGCTACCTTACTGGAACCTTCCGTGGAGATCCCTTTGGGGCCACGAAAGGGGGTGTGCCAAAAGGGGGGGGTGTCACATTCGGGCTACGCCACCAGGACCTTCGGTGGAGCTCCCTATGGGGCCACGAGGCGTGCACAGGGGTCTGCCGGAACGGGTGAGGCGGCCGCGAGCGAACATCGCAACTGGGGACTTCGTTGGAGTTTCTGATGGGGCCACGAAACGTGCGAGGGGTGTGCCGAAATGCGCGGGGCGGTCGCATGTGGGCTACGACATTAGGACCTTCGGTTGAGCTCACGATCGGGCCAAGAAACGCGTGATGCGTGTGCCAACATGCATGGGGCGGGCGCACGCGGGCTGCGCCACTGGGACTTTCGGTGGTGCTACCTACGGGGCCACGAAGCGAGTGAGGGGTGTGCCGAAACAGGTGGGGCGGACGCATGCAGGCTACGCCACTGCGACCTTCGGTGGTGCTCCCTATAAGGGCACGAAGCGTGCGAGGCGTGTGCCGAAACAGGTGGGGCGAACGCATGCGGGCTGCGCCATTGGGACCTTTGGTAGAGCTCCCTTTGGGGCCACGAAGCGCTTGAGGGGAGTGCCGAACAAGGCGGGGCGGCCGCATGCGGACTGCGCCACTGGAACCTTCGGTGGACCTCCATATGAGGCCACGAAACGTGTGAGGTGTGCCGAAGAAGGCGGGGCGGCCGCATGCGGGCTGCGCCACTGGAACCTGGAACCTTCGGTGGAGGTCCCTGCGGGGCCACGAAACTTGAGAGGAGTGTGCCGAAACGGTTGACATGCTGAGGGTAGATGCAGGGATGAGAAGAGCGGGGAGGAGGAGAGGAGAGGAGAGGAGACGCGGGATAATGTCTCTTCAAAACGAGGACCCATCACCACAGGAACGAGGCTCAAGACAAAAGGAGGTGTGGTCAATAGTTGGGCGAGTTCAAGCCTGCACGGCAATGGACTGCACTGTGTCTTAAAACGCCCAGTCTTCCCTGCTGCGCTGCGCAGAGAAAGTGGCGGAGTTCGCCGCAATCGAATGGGTGACAACATTCTCGCTCGGCATGTCAGCATATCCCAACGGATCATAATTGTAATGTTCGCTTCCCCTGCGGGCAAAAGAACAACCCTGCGGGGCAATACGCACGACGATCCGCATGACGATTCTGGCAAACGGTTCGTCCCTCGCGGGACTCTTCCAAGCCAAACCGCCTGTTGATCACTTGCGAGCATGCGCTAGGCGACGGAGGGAACAACATTATATGTTTTGGGGGGGTCACCGATAGCCACTAAAACCGTGTGACGTTGCATCTTCTCACGTTCTTGTTTCTGGCAGCCGGCAGCCGCAAACAACTCATCCTCCTCCTTCTCCTCCTCCTCCTCCTCGTGATCCTCGTCCTCCTCGTCCTCCTCCTCCTCCTCCTCCTCCTCCTCCTCCTCCTCCTCCTCCCTCCTCCCTCCTCCCTCCTCCTCCTCCTCCTCCTCCTCCTCCTCCTCCTCCTCCTCCTCCTCCTCCTCCTCCTCCTCCTCCTCCGCGTGATGCTCCACCCGCCTGCCGATTTGGGAGCACGCGCCAGGCGACGGAGACGCTGCTCCGGCGCGTCGGCGCGCGGGCACCAAGGGTTCCAGAGGCCGGCGCGGTCCGCCGAGGGCTTCGGTCGGGCACGTCCCCCGACAGGCTGCCTTTGGAACACAGAAATATGCAAACAGTGCCCCAAAGTAGTCAAAGATAGTCGAAACATCGTCCTCTGACCATGTTGAAACCGTCTCTGAATGCTCGTCATGTAGAGGTACACGACCGACGTAAGCCGCGGCGAAGGCGGGGCACATCCGCGCTGGTCATGAGGGCCCCCTTCCATGGAGCCCCGGAGCTGGCCCGAGCCGGCGTGCTGCCCCAGGGCGCCGTCCGCCGACGCCAGCCTTTAGAGGAAAAATTAAAAACAGTCCAAAAAGTAATCGAACATGCTTTCAAGTAGTCGAAGAATCGTCCCACAGACTATTTTCGTTATACCATTTCTTAACTTTTCCTCCAGTAGAGGGACACGCCCGACTTAATCTTGGGCCCCATCCATGGCCACGGAGCTGGCCCGAGCTGGCGTGCTGCCCCAGGGCGACGTCCGCCGACGCCAGCCCGATATATCTGGCTACATCTCCTCCTCCTCCTCCTCCTCCTCCTCCTCCTCCTCCTCCACACCCTCCTCCTCCCTCCTCCCTCTCGCTGCCTCCTCCTCCTCCTCCTCCCTCCTCCTCCTCCTCCTCCTCCTCCTCCTCACTCCCTCCTCCTCCTCCTGCCTCCTCCTCCCCCTCCTCCTCCCCTTCTCACTCCTCCTCCTCCTGCGCCTCCCTTGCTCCTACCTCATCCCCCTCCTCCTCCTCACTGCTCCTCCTCCCCCTCCTCCTCCTGCGTCCTCCTCCTCCTGCTTCCTCCTCCTCCTCCTCCGCCTCGTCCCTGCTCGCCTCCTGATCCTCCGCTGCTCTCCTCTCCTCCTCCTCCTCCTCCCTCTCTCTCCTCCCTCCTCTCCTCCTCCTCCTCCTCCTCCCCCTCCCATCATCATCTGTATGCTAAATCCTTGCTCCTCCTCCCCCTCCCGCTCCTCCTCCTCCATCCTCCCTCCTCCTCCTCCTCCTCCTCCTCCTCCTCCTCCTCTCCTCCTCACTCCTCCTCCTCCTCCTCCTCCTCCTCCTCCTTCTACCTCCTCCTCACTCCTCCTCCTCCTCCTCCTCCCTCTCCTTCCTCCTCCTCCTCCCACTCCTCCTCCTCTTCCTCCTCCTCCTCATCTCCTCCTCCTTACTCCTCCTCCCCCTACCCCCTCCCCCTTCCTCCTCCTCCTCCTCCTCCTCCTCCTCCTCTTTCTCTCCTCCTCCTCCTCCTCTCTCCTCCTCCTCCATCCTCTCCTTCTCCTCCTCCCCCTCCGCCTCCCACCCTCCTCCCCCTCCTGCCCCGCTCCTCCTCCTCCTCTCCTCCTCCTCCTCCTCCTCCTCCTACCATCCTCCTCCTCCCTCCTCCTCCTCTCCTCCTCCCTCCTCTCCATCCTCCTCCGCCTCCTCCTCTTTTCGCCATTATTCTTCGTCTTCTTCTTCTTTTTCTTCCTCCTCCTCCTCCTCCAGCTACACGCGGAAGCGACCCTGGGTAAGTGCGACCTGTGGTGCGCGGCTTTTTGAGGGCTGCGGGGGGGCCCAGCACAAGCGCGCAAGCAATCACTATCGCACCGCACGCGACGCTCGGGGAACCCCTGTGGGCGCGCACCACGGGTCACTTCGGTGAAAGGTCATTCTTACGTGTAGTCGATGTTTGCCGACAAAATGCCGGCTGGCGCCCGTGTGCGGGAAATGGGGCTGGTGAGCCTTTCCGCGCTTTTCGTCCCTGCCCGTGCGGTGCGGTGCGTGGTCCTCCACCTCGTGTTCTTCTCAGGAGTCGTAGCCCGCCTCCCCCTCCTCCTCGACCTCCTCCTCCTCGTCAGTCTGTCTCCACGCAAAGAAGACGAGGACGAAGAGGAGAGAGGGAAGGGGGAGGGAGAGCATGAGGATCAGCAGGATGATGGTGATGATGATGATGATGATGATGCTGATGATGATGATGATGAGGAGGAGGAGGAGGAGGAGGAGGAGGAGGAGGAGGGTGATGATGATGACGATGATGATGATGAGGATGAGGATGAGGATGATGATGATGATGATGATGATGATGATGATGATGATGATGATGATGAGGAGGAGGAGGAGGAGGAGGAGGAGGAGGAGGAGGAGGTGGAAAGACTAGAGACACGAAGTCTGCGGCTGAGGAGTAGAAGGACGACGACCAGGACGCGAAGGACAAGGAGGCTGGAGAAGGGGAGGGGCCAAGGAGGATAAGGTTGAGGATACAGGAAGGGGAGGGGTCGTGGGGAGGAGAAGGACGACGACGACGAGGAGTGAAATGAAGATGGGGAGAGGGGGAGCGACAATGAGTAGGAGGAGGATGAGGAGGAGGAGGGCGAGGAGACAGGAAGGGGAGGAGTCGTGGGAGGGAGAAGCACGACGACCACGACGAGGAGGGAGAGGAGGAATGGGGAGGGGGAGGGGCCACGGAGGAGGGTGAGGAGACAGGAGGGGGAGGAGCCCTCCTCTGCATGGACCCCGACAACTCAGTCCACAGAGCCCTTTGCTGGACCCCTCCGAGCCTCGGGGGCTCCATCCTCTGGAGCGATGCTGTCCTCCCTGGCGGTCCACTTCTCTGACCGTTCCCTGGGGGTCCCAAAAGCAAGCCTCTGCAGAGGCCGACGGTCGAGAACAACGCTTCGCCGATCCGAGGTCCGCGGTCCCCGAGGGGAAGCTCGAGGAGAGAGAGAGAGAGAGAGAGAGAGAGAGGACATCGGCGGCGAGCGAAGGGGGGGAATGAGAGGGAGAAAGCCTCCTCAGAGGGCGGCAGGACTTCTCAGAAGCCCTCGCGTCTTCTGGAAGATTGTCTGCATCTTCGGGGAATCAGCGATCTTCCCACCAGAGTCAATCCAGACCTGGGTCAGTCAGGCATTGCAGAATCTTGCAACATCCTGCAAGATCCTGCACCCAAACCCGGGTCCACGCGAAGAATCCTGTAAGATCCTGCAGGATCCTGCGCCCAAGCCCGGATCAATGCGACCCTGGCCCTGCAGGATCCTGAAAGATCCAGCGCTCTGACTGACCCCCGTTTGCACTGACCCCCCTCTGTGGAGCCCCGCGGGAAGGCTTATAGAACACTTCTCAGAGGGCCGGGGGGGCTTCCGAGCCCTCGGAGAAGGCCCGCCCCACCCCCGCTTCCCCCACCCCCGAGGCGCGCCGCCGCAGGAGAAAGCGCGTCGCCCGTCGCCTCCGAGGAGCCGTCCCGGACGCCGAGGTCCGCGAGGTCGAGGCCGGCTTCCTGCCCCGTGCGCGCTGTGACCAACGGGAGGGGGGGTTCCCCGACCCAGACATGGTCGCGTCGGCAAAAAAACAGGACCGGAGGTTTTTGGCCAATTTCGGCCTCAGGGGGCCCTCGCCGGGCCTCGGGACCGTCAAGAAACGGCTCAGGATGAAAAACCAGCCCTGGGGAAAGGGTCTGGACTTCCATGGGCGCCGTCCCGAAAACGTCAGGGCGTCGCATGTCTGGAGCTATAACCCACGGGAGGGCAAGTTCCCCGACCCACCTCGCGCGTTCGACCTTGCATTGCCGCTGCAGCCCAAGCCACCCCAACCCAGGCAGAAGAGCGCCGTGCACTGGGGCCTGTCAGCTTCCAGTGGCGGGGCGCTCTGGAGCATCGAGAAACCACGGCCCCCCAGCCCGGAATCTGAAGGGGCTCTGGGACCCTCGCACTTCCTGCAGTCCTCCTGCCTCCTCCACCTCCGAGACAACTTCACCGCGGCCCGCAATGGCCCTTTGTCGCCACCGCTGCCCCTCGCTGCCGAAAGCCAGAGGACGCGGGCGGAGGACGGCTGGTTCTGCGGCACCCCATGGCGCCTCGCACTCTCTTGGGGCCATCCTCCGAGCCTCCTGGACCTCCTCCTCCTCGAGGGCCCTTGCGCCCCCGGCGTCGAGAGCTGGACACTTCGGCACCAGGACCTGGAAGTCTTTCGCGGCCGTTTCTTCAAAGCCCCGCACCGTCTTCTCATCACCCCGCAGGCCCGGCAATGGTCCCCCGGGAGGGTAAAAACATGCGCCAAAGCCGCCCCGTCACGCCGAGGGAGTCCGGACCGTCCCTGCGGGGACCTCCCGGCAGCTGCCTCCCACTGGCCCCTGCCGTCAGCGCCGGCGCCTTGCATCTCGAGGGAGGGGGAGGGCAGGGGAAACGAGGGGAAGAGGAGGAAGAGGAGGAGAAGGAGGAGGTGGAGGAGGAGGAGTAGGACCAGTGTAAACCCAAGAGCCATCAACGATATTGGAATAAACCCGTCCTCCAAGCTCTCTCTTCATAGGCCCCATACATGGTTCATTTCCACTGAAGGAACTGCCTCGCTGGAAGACAACCGTTTAAACAATGCCAAAACATTGTTCTCGGGATTCCAACGCCAAGTATCAACCCGACTCTTGCGTCTGACGGTCTTGAGTCGCGCCAGAACACCATTCTGGGACTTCAGCTCCGCGATTCCACATAACTGTTGCACCCTCATAATCCTGGATCCTGCCAAAGCGCAATTTCTGGTGCGCTGATCATGGGGATCCGTGAACATCTTGTAAACTTGTAAAAAAAACGAACGTGCTCGACGCTAAAGCGAGAGCCACATTCTGAAAAGGAGCCGCCCTCATCATGTGAAACTCTTGCATTTGTTTGAGCGAATGTCCGCGGCGATGAAGCGAAAACCACATTGTGAAATTCATTCGCCCTCAATCCGTGAAACTCCTGTAAAAAATATAAGAAGAGTGTGCGCGGCGCTGAAGCGAGAGCAACATTATGAGAACCATTCGCCCTGAATCCGTGCAGCTTTTGCAGCATGTTAGAAACGAATGTGCGCGGTGCTAAGGCGACAGCCACATGTTGAAAGCGAACTTCCCTCCATCTGTGAAGCTGTTGTCAATGTTTAAGCTTCGGGGTAGTTAATCGTGAGGAAGTCTCAGGAGAAACGCCCGGCCCGCCCTCAAAACTTGCCCCAGGGTACGACACGGAGAAATTTTATATAAGGAACGGAAGAGGAGGAGAGAGAGGAGGAGGAGTAGGAGGAGGAGGGGGAGGAAGAAGAGGTGGAGCAGCGGAAGAAAGGAGGAAGAGAGATTTCTCCTTCGAGACCTGGAGGAGGGGGTCCTCGAAAGTCGAACCCCGGCTCTCTGCTCGAGTTCGTTCCTGGCAGAATTCCGAGGCAGGCCCAGCTGTGGCGAACAGGGCGGCCCAGGATTTCTGAAGCGGGCCCCCGAAAAGAACTGAAGAGCGCGGTCATCGAAGCTCAATCCCCGATCCGTTTCGAGGGAGAAGGAAAAAAGGCAAGAGGAGCACGGGCAGGGGAGAAGGAACAAGCTGGGGCAGTGGCAGGGGTCTTGCTCGCACAACTCGCCCCGCCCGCCAGGAGAGCAGGATTTGATTCGCATGGACGAACAGGGGGGGGAAGAGGAGAGAGGAGGAATAGGATGAGGAGGAGGAGGAGGAGGAGCAGCAGGAGAAGGGAGCATGCATTGGCCTGTGTGCAGGTCCCGACGAGAACACGGCGAAGCACAAGACGGAGAGGGGGCATCGGCAACCATGGCGGTACAGTGCGCACCGACAGGCCCCGCCCTTGGAGGCGAAGCGGCGTATATGCGGACAGCCGCGGCGCCCAGAGGACAGAATGCATTCCTCCCCCAATCTCGACCTCCTCAGGCACGAGCACCTGCAGGAGGCTTGGCACGCGCCACAACTGCTGCTGCTGCTGCTGCTGCTGCAGCCCGGTGGTCGAGGCCAGCAGCAGGAGCAGCTGCCCCCAGGGTCGCCCCAAGGCGGCCCAGGAAGCTCCCAAGAGGGCCCCACGATGGCCAAGGTCACCAAGACGTCCCAAGAGGCCCCCTGGATGGCCCAAGAAGGGCCCCACGGCACTAAGAGGGGAACTCGCTTTGAGTTTTCGAGCGCTCCGCCCCTCGGAGGCCCCCGAGACCATCAGGAGGCGCCCAAGAGGCACGCAAGAGGCGGCAACACGACGCAAACCAGCAGCACCTGGAGAAGAGGGAGCGACTCGACGCTGAGCCTCACAAATAGGAGCAGGCATCAAGATAGTCAGGATCACTGTGCATCTCCTCTTCGCTGCCCGTGCGAGGCGGCCGGAAGGGCCACACCGCGACGTGGTACTCCAATCTGCCGAACAGCTTGAGAACCCCTGTCGGCACTGTCGCGACCAGCGCCGCCACGCAGCTGCGTCGCCAAAGCGGCGCCAATCCAGGACGGCTGGCAACCCAGACCCCCGACGTCATAATGTCCTCATCACGTCGACCCCCCGAGGGTCTCCACCCACTGATTGGGTGGAGACCCCCTCGTGGAGTCTCCACGAGGCTCGTTTCTCATCACGTCGACCCCCTCGTGGAGCCTCCACGAGGCTCCTTTCTCATCCCGTCGACCCCCACGAGACGTAGCACCCCGCAGGTGCGGATAAGAGTGAGGGGGCGGTGGGGACGTCGGCAGTTTGCGAGACTCTGGAGAAGCCCGCCGCAGGCGCAACAAAGTTTCACAAATTATACAACGAGCCCGACGCAGGCGCCGATTTTGTCCTGGGCCGTCCAGGTAGCAGAGCCATGGAGCCACGGGAGGCGGAGGAGGAGGAGGAGGAGAGAGAAGGAGGAGGAGGATGAGGAGGATGAGGAGGAGGAGGGGGAGGAGGAGGAGGAGAAGGAGGAGGAGGAGGTGGAGGAGGAGGTGGAGGAGAAAGAGAAAGAGAGAAGGAGGAGGAGGAGGAGGAGGAGGAGGAGGAGGAGGAGGAGGAGGAGGAGGAGGAGGAGGAGGAGGAGGAGAGGAGGAGGAAGAAGAGAGAAGGAGGAGGAGAAGAAGGAGAAGAAGGAGAAGGAGGAGGAGGGCGAGGAGCAGGACGAGTGGACAAGGAGGAGGGTGAGGGACGAGACGGCTGGGGCCCTCCCCATCGAGGGCATGAGGAGGAGGAGGAGGAGGAGGAGGAGGAGGAGGAGGAGGAGGAGGAGGAGGCGGAGGCTCCCTCCCCTGACGACGCGGGCGCTGTGCTCGCCCAGCGGCCTGCCCACGAAAGAGAAAGCCCCCTCCCCTCCCTGCCCCCGAGGGGCAACGCTAGGGGGAGGGACTGGCGTAGCGGGGGAGACATCGACCTGGAATCGGCGATACATCGCCGACAGCTCGGCGATAGGCCCGCGACAGCGAATCCGCACGCTTCTGGGCGGGGTGGGGCTCTCCCTATGCCTCACGGGGATCCAAGTGAGACCTCGCGGCCCCCTGGGGGGCTGCGAAGTCCCGCGGAGCGGGGGGGGGCACGGGGATCCAGCTGAGACCTCGCAGCTCCCCGGGGGGGGGGGGCGCGAAGTCCCCAACCGTCGCCACTTCCGTGGGCTCCTGGGAGATCCCGCGGAGTGGGGAGACGCGGGAATCCCCCCGCCCCGATCGCTGCCCCCGCGCCCCCCATCGCTCGGTCGCGCGAGGAGGAGGAGGAGGAGGAGGAGGAGGAGGAGGAGGAGGAGGAGGAGGAGGAGGCGGAGGATGCCCCCGTTCCCCCCCCCGATCCTCCATCGCGCGGCGCCTCCCAGGCTCCCCGCGGGGGCCACGCCGCCGAGGCGCGCGCGCGCGGGGGGCGCGGCGCGCCGCAGGAACCCCGTCCCCCTGGCCCCCCTCGGCGGGCGAGGGGCGGCGCCCCTCGAGGCGATGCCAGCGCCGCGGGTCGTCGCCAGGCGTCGTCGTCGTCGGTCGTCGTCGTTTGGTCGTCGTCGTCGTCGTCGTCGTCGTCGTCGTCGTCGTCGTCGTCGTCGTCGTCGTCGTCGTCGTCGTTTGGTCGTTTGGTCGTTTGGTCGTGTTTGGTTCTGGTCTTGCAGGTCGTGTTTGGTCCTCCCTGGGCCTCTGGAAGCCTTCCGAGGACCTCCAGGTGTTCTCTCTTTGGCATGCTGTGGGGCGCGCTCGGGTGCAGCGTCAGCGACGGGGTACTTTCACAGGGCGACCTGCCGAGGAGGAGGACGACGAAGAGGATCGCCGACATGTTACAGTCGAAATGGCGACATGAGGAACCGCTAAGGAACGAAACACCTCGTTTTCATAGAAGTTAAATTTATAGTTCTCACAGAAAGCCGGAAGAACCCCTAAGAGCTATTGCAAAACAACTAGGGCACACTGAGCCCCTCCCCAACGAAAAGGGTTCCTTCTTCAGCGGCCCGACTGTACACGAGCTGGTCGTGTGTGTTCCTCTCTGGGCCTCTGGACGCCTTCCGAGGACTTCGAGGATCCTCTCTTGGGCATGCTGTGGGGCGCGCTCGCCACCAGCGTCCGCTGAGGGGGACCTCAAGAGGAGGGGCACCTGGCGAGGGGGACAGCGACGAGGAGGGTCGCCGCCATGATACACGTGCAGATCATATTTGGCCCTCCTGGGGTCTCTGGAGCCCTCCTGGGGACCTCGAGAGCCCTCTGGCCCTAACACCCCCGACATCGTGTTTTTTCCATGACGTCGACCCCCAGGACGTCTCGATCAGCTCGCCAGGACAGCTTTTCGCTCCGAGTCGTTCTCTGACGGCCCCGAGGCCTGGCGAGGGCCCCTGGGGGGGGCCGAAAATTGTCCGAGTTTTGTTCGCTACGCGAGGGAGGAGGAGAGGCGGAGGAGGAGGAGGAGGAGGAGGAGGAGGAGGAGGAGGAGGAGGAGGAGGACGAGGAGGAGGAGGAGGAGGAGGAGGAGGAGCAGGAGGATGGGGCCTCCAGGGGACCTCGAGAGACCTCTGGGGCGGCGAGGGGAGGCAGGACCACTGGGCATCGACGCGGGACATCGGGTCGCACCGGCACGTGTGCCAGACCGGCCTGCACCGGCACGGCGTCGTCTAGGCGCCGTCCAGGCGCGGCTTCGTTCGTTCGTTCGCTCGGGGGGGTCTGGGAGGCTTTCGACCGCACCGACAGTTTTGGGCCCAACCCTGGGATGCACGATGGGGGGGCGTCCATCCTCGACATGGGGTGCGTCCGAATAGGCCCCCCCCCTTAGGGTGTGTATCCCATCGGGCGGAGCTCGGGGATCGAGGGAGAACAGCAAGTGCCTGCCAGGGGGGGGCGGCGGGGGGAGGCGCGGGCCCCGCTCGCAGCAGCCAACACGCAGCCTTCTTTTTTTGTTGTTGGTTTTGGACTCCGCCCGGGGTCATCACAGGACGCCCGCGGGACGAAAACTGGGACGCACAGAGACACATTAGTACTATATGTCCACCTTGGAGGCGCGCGTCCGAACCAAACACATAGTATACCCATCTTGTAGTGTATCGTTTCCCGAGCGGTGTGGCCAGAAAGCGCCCGCCACGTCGCATACACTAGAAGCTTTCTCGGTGCGCGCGTCGCCCCTGGGGGGTCGACGCACATAATAGTATAAGTATGTTGCGGCGACGCCAGAAAAGCGAAGCACAACGCAGCTTCAGCACACGCAGCCTGCCAACACGGTCGCTCTGCACACGGCACCTGCCGCGCCCCAGCACGGAAGGGTGCCAGGGCAGTCAGGCCTCCTCGAGAGACGCCTGGAGAGAGTTCGGCGGGGCCCGCTCTCGAGGAACCAGAAACGTATCCCGCAACCTCCTGGGGAGGGGCCCTAAGTCAGGCAGGCCAAAGCACTGGGCTTGGAGTGCCTCTGGTGCAGATGCCTCAGACCACACCGCGTAGACTGCTGATCTCATCCCTGAGACGAAGGCGGGGACCTCAGTGAGGCCGCATCTTCATCGTGTAATGAAGGTCCAGGGTAGGGGCCCTTCTGTTCTGAAGTAGGGGAACGGACAATGACATAAACATACAAACTCGGAAGTCCGCGCAGATTCCTCGGATCGCCGCTGGACCCCCCTCCCTGGCGCGCGCGGAGCGCGCCAGGGGCAGCGCCAGACGCGCAGCCAAGGGTCCACCGAGTTGGATGTTCATGTCACTGTTCGTTCTGCTATAACGGAACTCTGGAAAGCGGCGAGGAGGTTGAGGAGGAGGTGGAAGTGGACGAGGAGGAAGAAGAGGAAGAAGAGGGGGAGGAGGAGGAGGAGGAGGAGGAGGAGGAGGAGGAGGAGGAGGAGGAGAAGGAGGGAGGAGGAGGAGGGGAGAGGAGGAGAAGGGGGAGGGGGAGGAGGGGGGGACGGGGAGGAAGAGGAGGGGGAGGGAGGAGGAGGAGGAGGAGGAGGAGCAGGAGGGGAGGAGGAGGAGGAGGAGGAGCAGAGGAGGAGGAGGAGGGGGAGGAGGAGGGGAGGAGGAGGATGAGGAGGAGGAGGAGAAGGAGGAGGGGAGGAGGAGGAGAAGGAGGAGGAGGAGGAGGAGGAGGAAAAGGAGGAGGAGGAGGAGGAGGACGAGCCTGCCGTATATATGTGCACACGCCCATACGCTGTTGTGTAGATGCAGAGGCAGAGAACCTACTTCGCTTGTCGTCACCCCTTCTCTCTCTCTTGTTCCTGAGTGTTGTTGTTTCTCTCTCTCTCTCTCTTTTTCCTTATCTCTTTATTTGTGCAGTTCGTTCGTTCTTGATTCATACGTTTTTGTTTTTTCTCGCTCTCTCTCTTTCTACTTGTCTCACCTCTCTGTCTCTTTCGCTCTCTTTTTTTTTTTTTTTCTCTCTCTCTCTCTCTCCTCCCACACCGTGTTCCCCCCAGGGTTTCCACAATCGCTATGGGGAACCTGCGGTCGAGCAGCTTGGCAGGTCGGCCCGGCGTTGGAGCGGCGGAGAAACCGCCATGGGCGTCTTCGACACTTCGTCGTCGGTGCAGGGCCATGGCCGAGCACATGCTGCTGCACTCGTCCTCCGAGGAGGAGGAGGAAACGGACAAGGAACAGTAGAAGGAGGAGGAGCAGGAGGAGGAGGAGGAGGAGGAGGAGGAGGAGGAGGAGGAGGAGGGGGAGGAGGATGGGGAGGAGGAGAGGGAGGGAGGAGGAGGAGGAGGAGGAGGAGGAGGAGGAGGAGGAGGAGAGGAGGAGGAGGAGGAGGAGGAGGAGGAGGAGGAGGAGGAGGAGGGGGCCCCCCCGCGCTGGGCGCGAGGAGGAGGAGGAGGAGGAGGCTCGGCGCGCGCCGCGCGGGCCCCCCCCCCACGGGCTGGGCCCGGCGCGGCGCCGCGCGAGCGGGCGCCTGCCGCAGAGAGGCCGCCCGCCGCACGCAGAGGGCCCCGCTCGACGGGGGCGCCGCGGGGCCGCGGAGGCCTCGCGGCGCGGCGCCGCGCCGCGCGGCGGGGGCCCCACCCCGAGCGTTAGGTCGGGCGTGTCGTACAGGCCAATCCTGGGCGGAAAATTTAAAGGAGCCCCAACATCAGAAGATGCTCCAACACACTCCAGACATCGTGCCCAGACTATTTTTTGGAGTGTTCCTGCTGTGGAGGGACACGCCCAACTTCACCCGAGCAGCGGAGAGCTCGGTGGCAACCCGCGGGAGCCTCCCGTGCCATCCTCGAGGAGCACCATCCCGGGACCCCCTCGCGCTGGGGGAAAGTCACGACGGGAGGCTTTTCGCTGCAGACTTGGCCTCCGCGGGCCCCCAACCGGGCCTCGGGACTGTCAAGAAACGGCTCAGGATGAAGAGCCGGTGCCCGGGAAAGGGTCCAGACCTCTGAGCGTCGACGCTGTGAAAAAATCACGACGTCGGGGATCTGGGACTCTCGTGTTGGGAGGACAGGGTTGGGAGGGGGAAGGGTATGAGCAATAGCATTCGGATGCAGTGCACGATACCTTCGACCGCCTGCGGGAAATCAGGTCCTCATTTCTCTCAGCCTCATCCTCCCAACCCGAGAACTGTCGTCCTGAGTCTTGCTGGCCCTTGCGAATCGGCGCTGGCCGGCCCGAGTCGACGCTCTTCGACGTCAAATGGACGACCATCGGCGCTGAATCGTAGCTCTCTCATCGACTAGTTACGCTGACGCAGTCTTGAGGCGGAACTGCGAGGACATGCAGGGCTTCCATGACTTGCTACTGGAGTAGAGTGATGTTGCATCCTCGGAGGATCTTGTCTGTCCCGTCGCGGCCCTATCCGCGTCGAATCCGTGTCGAATCCATGCCGGCCTCGTCGGATCCGTGTCGAACCCGCGCCGACCGAATCCGCGCCGGATCCACGCCGAATCCACGTCGAGTCCGCATCGAGCCCGCGTCGGGCACAAGACAAGACGCCCATTGTGGGAACAGGCGGGGATAGAAAAATAACAACACGCTATGAACATAAACTTTTGGCGCTCCGCCTGGACCCACTCCCTGGCGCGCGGAGCGCGCCGGGGGCGGCGCTGGCGGCGCCGCCGGGGGGGGGGAGGGCCCAGCGTGGATCCAAGAAAGCCGCGCGTAGCGCCAAAAGCTTATGCTTATGGCGTCTTTGATGATTCGACGTTCTTCTTTCTTCACCTCCCCCCCCGGCCGCCTGCTCTGCCCTCTTCCCACTCTTGCATGCTGGCCAATTCGCCAGCCAACTTTGCCTCGCCGCCGACGGCAAAAAAGTGTTCTTCCTCGAGAGGATCCCCGAAGATGCAACGCACGAATCTGCAAGGACGCGCGAGGCTCCCACATGTCTTGCTGCCGCAGGGAGACCCAGAGATCCGAGGTCGTGACCTTTTCATGACGGCCTCCCTGAAAGCCTCGACCCCTTCCTGAAGACTGGCTTTCATCCCGAGTCGCTGTCTGACGGTCTTGGGGCCCGGCGAGGGCCCCTATAGAGGCCGAAGACCGCGAAACACCTCCGTCTTGATTCCTCGATGCGCTGGACCTCCGGGGAGGCGGGCCCGGCCAGCGGGTCGGCCTGCGACGGTCGGCGGCGGCCAGCCCGGGCGACGGAGGCCGGCGGCGGCGACCAGGGCGACGGCCGGGGCGGGCGACGGCGGCGCGCAGCTGCCGACGGCGGCGGCGGCGGCGGCGACGACGACCGCAGCGAACCGCTCGAGGCGGGGATCGATGCCAGGATCGGTTTGCCCCGCAACAGCCGCTCTCTCGCCGAGGCCACGGAGGATGCGCAGAATGCTCCGCAGGTCTCCAGTGTGGGGTTCGTAGATCAACTCTGTGGTCGATCCCCTGCTCGAGCCACCGGGCTCGGGGCTGGCCACTCTGGCAGAGCCCGCAGGCTGGGCCACGCACCCCGACCCAGACCCACCCTCGGGTCGAAAACAAACATCACAGCGGGGGGGGGGAGGTCGCCCTTTTTTGGCGGTGCGCACGAGGGGGTGGAGGGAGGGGGGAAGGGCTTCTTCGAATGAGGCTGCTTCGTAGAAGGCGCTGGCGTTACATCTATAGATAAGGACCGCACCTTCTAAGAAGCAGGGGTGCTTCTAAGAAGCCCTCCCCCCTCTCCCCACCCCCCTCTGCGCGTGGCTGACTGTTGGGCCTCTGAGGGCCCTTACCGGGCCTCGGGACCGTCGAATAACTACTCGAGATGAAAAAAGGGCCCCGTGCAGTGGGTCGAGGCCTCTGGGGGTCGACATTGTGAAAAAAAGGAGCATGACGTCGGGGGTCTGGGGCGCTCCCCGCCACACCGTCCTCCAGAATTTTCCCTCCAGCACGGCGTGAGGGTGCATCGTCGACTCGTCCGACTGCTGCTCGAGGGGGTACACGTGCCCAAGGGAGGCTGAGGAGGAGGAGGAGGAGGAGGAGGAGGCGGAGGCCGCAGCACCGCTCAACGATGTGCTGCTCACCGAGCCTGCAGGGTCGGCCATTCTTCTGGATCTGTGCACCTCGACTTTGGCTTCAACTTCAGCCCCGGGCGCGCTGCGAGGAGATCTGCTGCTCCCCCTCATCTTCGCCACAACTCGCCCCGCCTCCGCTACCCACCCCTCCACATCTTCCTCCCTCCACATTCCCCCCCCTCCCTCCATATCCTGTCTCATCCTTCTCCTTCTCCTCCTCCTCCTCCTCCTCCTCCTCCTCCTCCTCCTCCTCCTCCTCCTCATTCTTCTCCACCACGCCCCCCTCCCTCCACCTCCTCCTCCTCCTCCTCCTCCTCCTCCTCCTCCTCCTCCTCCTCCTCCAGCGCGTGCCCCAGGGCCCTCGGTCCCCGCAGCGAGCAGACCGCGCGCCCCGCGCAGCTCGCGCGCAGCGCAGCTCAGCCTCGTGTTGCAGATCCCGCACCCCGCCCACCCTTCTCCTCCCCTGCCCCGCTCTCCAGCAGTCACTCCAATGCACGAGGCGCACCATACCGTGGCATGGCACCGTCGACGGCTTTTCGGGGACTCTTGGGCTCGCCGCATCGGAGACCGCTTAGGAGCTCAAGGATGCCACACTGCAGCCAGCGGAACGCCCAGGAGAAGCTATGCGCAGACTGTCCAAACTCCGCTCTTTCTGTTCACCTACATGTTGACCGTCGCCACTTGTCAGCCCAAGATGGTTTCAGGATGGGCCCCACAGGTGACCGAGAGAGGATGAGAAGCCACAAATAAGCCTCAAGAGAGCCCAAAACCGCCTCCAAGATGCAACACGATGGCCTCCAAGGTAGCCGTGCGCCTCCTGGGCAACAGCGGGATTAATTGTCCCTCCCCCTCCTCCTCCTCCTCCTCCTCCTCCTCCTCCTCCTCCTCCTCCTCCTCCACCTCCTTCTCCTCCTCCCCCCCCTCCTCTGTCAGAGACAGCAGGGCATAGGAGATGGTGTTCATGATGCTGGCAGTGCTGACGAGCTGGTGACGATGATGATATATCATGATGGTGATGTGGCGATGACGATGTATATTAAAGACGGCAGCGGTGATGATGTGAAAGTGATGTCGGCCAACCGCACCGCTTTGACACGACGCCGTGGCCTGGGTCAATGGGGAAGAGAGTGTACCCTAGAACCCGCTCAGCTGGGCACCGTTGAGGATCTGCTTCGCCTGCTGCAGAGCCTCAACTTCAGCACCGCGGGACTCCTGTCGGGTGTCAAAGTTGTGAAGAAGGAAGTCACACTCGGTGTGCAGGTCTGCCTTGTACTTCGCGAGGCCCTCGAGCTCGAGCACGGTGGCCGTAAGGTCCTCCTCGGCCTGCAGCTTGTCCTTCGTGGCCTTGGCCTTCGCCTGGGCCTTCACCGTCACCAGCTTCTGCAGGTCGGCGATCTGGGCGTTGGTGCTGGCGATGGTCTCCTCGTATGCCTTCTGGGCCTCGCTCTCAGAGGACTTGGATTCTGTCATCAGCTCCTTCGCCTCCGAGATGAGCTTCTCGAGCATCTGCATCACCCCAGCGGCACCCGAGCTCGGCTTGTATTCCATCTGAGCCACTGGCGCCACCGACCCCGGCGCAGGGTTCTCTGTGCCCTTGCGGCGCTGGAGGAAAGACTCGTTCTCGTAGTACTTTGCCATCCTCTTCGCGGCCTTCTTGAGGACATCAATGACGACGGTCTGGTCGGCGACCACCTTCTGGTAGTCCAAATTCTCCTCTCTGCGTGCGAGGCTTGCGCTCTGCAGCGCGACCTCCGCTTCCTCGATGTCGTGCGTGGCCTTGGCGATGTCGGTCTCCAGCGCCTTGATGGTGGACGCCAGCTCCGCGATCTTGGCCTCGAGGTCGGCCTTGCGGTCATCCGTCTTCAGCGTGGTCATCTCGTTCTCCTTGAACTCGGCCTTGCACCAGTCGTGCTTCTTCACCTCGTCCTCCGTCTGCCTCTTCAGCATCACGATCATGTCGTCGATGGCCTTCTTGACCTTCTCGAAGGCGTCGAGCTCGACCGCGGTGGCCAGCATGGCCAGCTGTGGGCTGTGTGCCTTCAGCGCCGCCCTGTGCAGCAGCGCCGCCGCGGCCCTGCGCCGCCCGCCGGCCCGCGCGCTCTCCGCCCTGCGCGCCGAGGAGCGCTGCACGAAGCTGTAGGTGCCCGCCGCCGCGTCCCTGGCCTCGTCCTCCGTCAGGATGGCGATCGTCTGGGCCACCGCCTCCATCTCCGCCTGCCGCGCCTTCCTGCGCTGGCCCCAGTTCTTGTCGGCCTCCGCGCAGGTCTCCTTCGGGGCTCAGGGCCTGAACGGTGCTAATGTTGGCCATTTCTGGAGCCGGTTGCTCGTTTTTCGTTGTGCTTTGTGCGCTCGAGGCGAAGGGAAGGCAGAACAAGGGGGAAACGAACGCACACACAACATACACACACACACACCACACACACACACAACGAATCTGAAACAACCGTTTAGGTTCAGCCCTGGTCTCCTTCATGTTCTTCAGGAACCCCTGGTTCTCGGCCAGCAGAGCCTGCTCCTGGCCGAGGTCCTCCTTGGCCTCGGCGAGGGCGTTGGCGGTCGTGGCGAGCTCGTCCTCCTTCTGCTCCTCCATCCTTTGGCGGCGCGCAGAGGGTGGTAGGGGGAGGGGGGGAGGCTGCTTAGAAGGAGGCTGCCTCTTAGAGGGCGCCAGCCATACATCTGTGGAGAAGGCCCGCGCCTTCTGAGAATCAGGGGTGCTCCTGAGAAGCCTTCCACCCTCCCCCTCGACCCCCCCTCTGCGCGTGGCCGAATCCTCTCTCCGGCCTCGATCTCCGCCGTCTTCGCCTTGCGCAGCACCTCGAACTCCTCCGAGCGCATGGCCTCCTGCTTCTGGGCCTCCGAGAGGTCGGCCTCCATCTCGTCCTCGGGAGGACAGCCGGAGTCCCGGGGCCCCCCAAACCAGGACGTTGCTGGCCAGGACATTCAGCAGTCCACCTGGAGAGGGCGAATCAGTGAGAATGCTTCAACTTGCGGCTGCGGTTTTCTCGGGCGCGCCAACGCCATGGCTCACCCAAAGTCACCATTACCGATGCCACTGCTCTCAGGACCTCTCCCGGGGCGTGTTCCGATCATCCGACCAGGATCCCGCGAGTCCAACAATGGCGACGCCGCGACCTGGGACTCCCAAGAGGCCCAAGAAAGCGACGAGAGGAGGCCATCGGCGTCGATATTTCTAGGGCAGACATATTTGTATACACGCATGTATGTCAGAGTGAGGGGGCCGAACGGTCATTCACTCTCCCTGGGTGCGTGGATGAATAAGGAATTCGTGGTGAGAGTTCTGCTTGTTGCGTTGTTGTTGTTGTTGCTGATATTGTTGTTGTTGTTGGTGTTGTTGTTGTTGTTGTTGGTGTTGGTGTTGTTGTTGTTGTTGAACTCTCACTACTGTAGAATAAGTATGCTCGATCCCCCCCCCAGTGTACATTTTATTTTTCAATTGAAATGCCCCTCCCGGCGCTCGCACCCTGTTTTATCAGGGAAAGTCGTCTTCCTCAAACTGTGCCCCTGCCCCCTGGTTTACAAGAACAACGGCTCCCGCTTTGATGCGTCTTCGAAATTTACTCAGGTCCCGCGCTCCCGCTTGAGACTTCCTCGCGATGTACTCAAGAATCGCGTTCCCGCCTGAAATTTTCTCGCAAGTTGCTCAAGCGCCGCGTTTGCCATTCTGGAATCGCGCGTTCGCTGGGGACTTCTTCAGCTTTAGTTAAAAATCGCTCTCTCGCTGGAAACTTCCTGGCTAATCACGCAAAACTCACAAATATGTACATATATATATATATACATACACCTACCAAACATGGTATGATCGAAGACGAGGGGAGCGGGTATCGAAGCTTCGGGAAATGCACGCTGAATGGCACTCGAGCAGATAAGAGCGAAAAGTCGTTAAATGACTGTTGAACTCTCCTTTCTGAACAATCATTATTGTTGATCCCCCCCGTCTGGTGCACATTGTTTTTTGATTGAAGTGCCCTTCCCAAGGCTCGCACCCGGTTTCTTTTTTATCAGGGAAAATATTGAGGGTCAACCTGTGTCGTTGGCCCCCAATTTACAGCAACAACAACAACAACGGCTCCCGCCTAGGACTTCCTCACAATTTAGCCAGGACCCTCACTCCCGCCCGAGACTTCGTCGCGTTGTATTCAGGAACGCGCTCTCGCTTGGGACTTCCTTAGAATTTATTATCCCGGCGCTCTGGACTCGCGCTCTCGCTGGATACTTCCATGCAGTGTACTCAAGAGTAGAGCCCTTGCGTTGGAACGTCTTGCAATTTACTCGAGCGCCGCGCTCCCGACACCCAGGCACCCAGGAGTCGCGCTCACGCTTAGGACTCCTTCGCAGATTACATAGGAATCGGGATCTCGCTGCCCTTTCGTGGCCCGTTGCAGCCCTTCGCGGCCCCCTCGCTTTGTTTCGTGGCCCCGTTGCAGCCTTTCGTGGCCTCCTCGGTGCCCTTCTTGGCCCCGTTGCAGCCCCTCGTGGCCTCCTCGCTGCCCTTTGTGGCCCCGTTGCTGTCCTTCGTGGCCCCCTCGCTTTGTTTCGTGGCCCCGTTGCAGCCCTTCGTGGCCCCCTCAGTGCCATTCGTGGCCACGTCGCAGGCCTTCGTGGCCCCGTTGCAGCCCTTCGTGGCCCCCTCGCTGCCCTTAGTGGCCCCGTTGCATCCCTTCGTGGCCCCCTCGCTGCCCTTCGTGGCCCCACATATGTATGCGCTTCGTGGCCCCCGCTCGTTCGCGCCAGTGGTGGCCCCACACGCATCTGTCCTACGTGGCCCAGTTGCGACCCTCAGTGGCCCCATCGTTGCCCCTGTGGCCCCGCATTATCTGCCCTTCGTGGCCTCCGCTCGTTCGCGGTCTTCGTGGCCCCCTCGCTGCCCTTCGTGGCCCCCGCTGTCGCCTTTCGTGGCCCCCTCGCTGTCCTACGTGGCCCAGTTGCTACCCTCCGTGGCCCCGTCGTTGCCTTCTGTGGCCCCGCACTCTCTGCCCTGCCCCCGCTCGTTCTTGCTCTTCGTGGCCACATACGCATTCCATTCGTGTCCCCGCTGTCGCCCTTCGTGGCCTACTTCGTGTCCTTGTGGCCCTGCTGTCGTTCTCTTTCGCTCTCGCTTTCGCTCGTCGTCGTGGTCGCCGTCGTCGTCGTCGTCGTCGCCGTCGTCGTCGACGTCGTCGTCGTCGTCGTCGTCGGTCCCCTGTCCGTCCCTCTTGGGGTCGGGTCGACGGTCTGCGGCCGCCCCGCCGATCAGCGCTACCGCTGGCCAGGCCGACGGTCCGCGACCGCCCCGCCGCTTGCCCGGGCCCGGCCTGCAGAGAAGAAAGGTATACCCCCGAAAAATGGTTTGATCGAAGACGAACAGGGCGGGTATCGAGGGTTGGGGAAATAGGCATTATTGGAAATTCGAGCAGATAAGGGCGAACAGTCTTAACATGATTATTGTTGTTGTTGTGGTTGTTGTTGTGTTGTTGTTGTTATTGTTGTTGTTGTTGTGACTGTTGTTGTTGTTGTGAATGTTGTGAATGTTGTTGTTGCTGTTATGGTTATTGTTATTGTTATTGAAATCTCATGTCTGAACAAAGTTATTCTTGATCCACCTCACCAGCGCATATTGTTTCTTCTCAATCAAAGCGTGCCCCTCGACGCTCGCACCCTGTTTTTTTTCTGACAGGGAAAATCGTGGTGTTCAAATTGTGCCCCTGGCCCCCCAGATTGCAACAACAACGGCTCCCGCCTGAGACTTCCTCCAAATTTCTTCAGGACCCCCGCTTGAAACTTCCTCACTATTTACTCAGGATCGGTGCTCTCGCCTGTGACTTTCTCGCAAATTACAATAGTCCCGCTCCCATCTGAGACTTCCTTACAATTTACTCAAGAACGGCACTCCCGCTTGAGACTTCCTCGCAAGTGGTTCAGGACTTCCTCGCAATTCATTCAAGACCCCCGCTCCCGCCAGAAAGCCCTTCACATCAGGAATTGCGCTTTCGCCTGTGGCTTCCATGCTATGTATTCAGAAATCGCGCTTTCGACGCTCAGGAAACACGCTGCGCCGATGACGCCGCTACAATTTACACAATAATCGCGCTCTCGCCATACTCAGGGATCCCGCTTGAATGTCCCACCCGCCCGGCCCGCCCGTCAGGGGATCGCCCGCCCGTCGTGGGCTCCCACCCGAGACTTCCTTCAGGAACGGCGCTTTCGCCTAGGACTTCCTCGAAAGTTCACGCTCTTACCTACCTGCTCCTCCTCCCTCTCCCTCCTCCCTCCTCCCTTCTCCTCTCTTCTCTCATCCTTATGCCTCTCTGCCCTATCCCCTCTCCCTCTTCTCCCTCATCCCTTTTCCCTCCCCTCTCCTGCCTCCTCCCTCCCTCATTATTGTTTTTGTTTCTCTCTCTCTCTCTCTCTATCCCCTCTCTCTCTCTACCTCTTTTTTCTGTCTCTCTCTCTCTCTCTCTCTCTGCCTCTAATCAACCGCCCCCCTCTTCGCTCCTTTTCTCCTGGCGTGTTCCCTCTTCCTTCGTCCCTCCCCCTCCCTTCCTCCCACTCTCCCTCGTTCTCCCCCTCCTCGTTGTGCAGGGCCCACACCAATTCCAATGGCGGGCGCATGTACGCCCACGAAGGATTGTCCGCCCGTTCAGGTTTGCCCGCCTGTCTAAGCCCGCCGCCCCCCGCAAAGAGAAAGAATCCCGCAAAGGGGGTGTGATCGAATACAACATGATCGACCCACGAACCCGGAAAGGAATGTAGAACTGTAACACATGGCAGCGTTTTCAAAGACACCTGATTGGGTGACGGGCAATTGCAATACTGAAGGTATCGATCTTGATGTACCCTGCCGAGGGCTGTGCTGTGCTGCGCCGTGCTGAATTGCGATGTGCCATGGCGCGACTGTGCTCTATAGCCTCGTGAATCAAGTCCTCCTTTGCATCCGATTCCTGACCGAATTGATCTGGATCTTAAGCTCGAGCTGCCTGAACACATAGTAGCTGCCCCAGAGCTAATGGACAGGGGAACATGCCAGGAGGACGCGCCGCGAAACGTCCCAAGGGATGCGCCAGGCGACGTGCCAGGGGACGTGCCATGGGGTCGCACCGCGAGACGTGCCAAGGGGACGCGCTACGGAACGTGCCAATGGATGTGCCACGGGATGTGCCAGGGGACGCGCCACGCGACGTGCCAGGGGGACTCGCCAAAGGACGCCCCACGGAACGTGCCAAGGAACGTGCCAAGTTGCAATGCTGAGTGTATCGACCTTGATGTACCGTGCCGAAATCAGTGCTGTGCTGCGCCGTGCTGAATTGCGATGTGCCATGGCGCGACTGTGCTCTATAGCCTCGTGGATCGAGTCCTCCTTTGCATCCGAGTCCTGACCGAACTGATCTGGATCTTAAGCTCGAGCTGCCTGAACACATAGTAGCTGCCCCAGAGCTAATGGACAGGGGAACATGCCAGGAGGACGCGACGCAGAACGTCCCAAGGGACGCGCCAAGCGACGTGCCAAGGGACGTGCCATGGGGACGCACCGCGGGACGTGCCAAGGGGACGCGCTACGGAACGTGCTGGGGACAAGCGTTTCGCTCGAGACATCCTGTCAAAATCATCTGAATTCCTACGCGCGGGACGCTGCACGCGCGAGACATCCTCGGAATTCCTGCGAGCGGGACGTGAAAGCAAGCATTTCGCCTGAGACATCCTTTGAATTCTGGCCCCCCACGAGGCCACCGCTCGAGACATCCTCCAATTTTGCAAAACCAGCGTTTTGCTCGAGACATCCTCAACAAATTATGAAAAACAAGCGTTGCGCTCGAGACATCCGGTCAAAACCCGAAGAAATCCAAATACCCGCGCGCGGGACGCGGCACGCGCGAGACATCCTTGGAATTCCTGCGCGAGGGGCGCTTTTCCGTGTCGCGGTCGGCTCTGAGAAACCAGCGTGTCGCTCGAGACATCCTCAACAAATTCTGAAACCAAGCGTTTCGCTCGAGACATCCCCAACTCTGCAAAACCAGCGTCTCGCTCGAGACATCCTCAACAAATTCTGAAAAACAAGCGTTTCGCTCGAGACATCCTCAAAAATAATTCCGCCGGCCCTACTCCCGCACGTAATTTATCGCAGAATAATTTCGCCGGCCCAAGTCGCAGGGGGGCCGGGGGGTTAACCTACTAACATGATCGACCCACGAACCCGGAAAGGAATGTAGAACTGTAACACATGGCAGCGTTTTCAAAGACACCTGATTGGGTGACGGGCAAATTGCAATACTGAAGGTATCGATCTTGATGTACCCTGCCGAGGGCTGTGCTGTGCTGCGCCGTGCTGAATTGCGATGTGCCATGGCGCGACTGTGCTCTATAGCCTCGTGGATCGAGTCCTCCTTTGCATCCGAGTCCTGACCGAACTGATCTGGATCTTAAGCTCGAGCTGCCTGAACACATAGTAGCTGCCCCAGAGCTAATGGACAGGGGAACATGCCAGGAGGACGCGCCGCGAAACGTCCCAAGGGATGCGCCAGGCGACGTGCCAGGGGACGTGCCATGGGGTCGCACCGCGGGACGTGCCAAGGGGACGCGCTACGGAACGTGCCAATGGATGTGCCACGGGATGTGCCAGGGGACGCGCCACGCGACGTGCCAGGGGGACTCGCCAAAGGACGCCCCACGGAACGTGCCAAGGAACGTGCCAGGTTGCAATGCTGAGTGTATCGACCTTGATGTACCGTGCCGAAATCAGTGCTGTGCTACGCCGTGCTGAACTACGATGTGCCATGCCGCGATTGTGCTCTAGTGTTGTAGATCGAGTCCTCCGTTGCATCCGAGTCCTGACCGAACTGATCTGGATCTTAAGCTCGAGCTGCCTGAGCACATAGTCCACATAGTAGCTGCCCCAGAGCTAATGGACAGGGGAACATGCCAGGAGGACGCGCCGCGGAACGTCCCAAGGGATGCGCCAGGCGACGTGCCAGGGGACGTGCCATGGGGTCGCACCGCGGGACGTGCCAAGGGGACGCGCTACGGAACGTGCCAATGGATGTGCCACGGGATGTGCCAGGGGACGCGCCACGCGACGTGCCAGGGGGACTCGCCGAGGGACGCCCCACGGAACGTGCCAAGGAACGTGCCAAATTGCAATGCTGAGTGTATCGATCTTGATGTACCGTGCCGAGGGCTGTGCTGTGCTGCGCCGTGCTGAATTGCGATGTGCCATCGTGGATCGAGTCCTCCTTTGCATCCGAGTCCTGACCGAACTGATCTGGATCTTAAGCTCGAGCTGCCTGAACACATAGTAGCTGCCCCAGAGCTAATGGACAGGGGACCATGCCAGGAGGACGCGACGCAGAACGTTTCAAGGGACGCGCCAAGCGACGTGCCAAGGGACGTGCCATGGGGACGCACCGCGGGACGTGCCAAGGGGACGCGCTACGGAACGTGCTGGGGACAAGCGTTTCGCTCGAGACATCCTGTCAAAATCATCTGAATTCCTACGCGCGGGACGCTGCACGCGCGAGACATCCTCGGAATTCCTGCGAGCGGGACGTGAAAACAAGCATTTCGCCTGAGACATCCTTTGAATTCTGGCCCCCCCACGAGGCCACCGCTCGAGACATCCTCCAATTTTGCAAAACCAGCGTTTCGCTCGAGACATCCTCAACAAATTATGAAAAACAAGCGTTTCGCTCGAGACATCCTGTCAAAATCCCAAGAAATCCAAATACCCGCGCGCGGGACGCGGCACGCGCGAGACATCCTTGGAATTCCTGCGCGAGGGGCGCTTTTCCGTGTCGCGGTCGGCTCTGCAAAACCAGCGTGTCGCTCGAGACATCCTCAACAAATTCTGAAACCAAGCGTTTCGCTCGAGACATCCCCAACTCTGCAAAACCAGCGTCTCGCTCGAGACATCCTCAACAAATATTGAAAAACAAGCGTTTCGCTCGAGACATCCTCAAAAATAATTCCGCCGGCCCTCTTCCCGCACGTAATTTATCGCAGAATAATTTCGCCGGCCCAAGTCGCAGGGGGGCCGGGGGGTTAACCTACTAAAAGAGAACCCTGGGCCCGCGCCCTTTCCGGGAAAAAGGGCGGGTATCGAGGGTGTGGGGAACTCGTTTTGAATGACACGCGGGCAAGTAAGAGCGAACAGTCTTAGAATGCTGTTGTTGTTGTTGTGATTGTTGTTGTTGTTGCTGCTGTTGTTGTTGTTGCTGCTATTGTTGTTGTTGTTGCTGTTGGTTGTCATCGTCCCACCCGCGACCCACCCGCGACCCACCCCTCGACCCACCCCGCGACCCACCCCGCGACGCACCCCACGACCCACCTGCGACCCACCCGCGACCCACCCGCGACCCACCAGCGACCCACCCCGCGACGCACCCCGCGACCCATCCGCGACGCACCCGCGACGCACCCTGCGACCCACACGCGACCCACCCCGTGACCCACCCTCAAGGGAGGAAAAACACCCGACAATTGACGTTTACTAAACGCCTTGGGCGTTTACCAAACGGCTTCGCTTACACCCGCGACCCAACAGCGATCCACCCGCGACCCACCCGCGACACATTTGCGACCCACCCGCGGCGAACCCGCGACCCACATTGGCTTCACGAAAAAATCGGCGCCTGCGGCGGGCTCGTTGTATAATGTGCGAAACGTTGGCGCCTGCGGCGGGCTTCTCCAGAGCCTCGCAAACTGCCGGCGTCCCCACCGCCCCCTCACTCTTATCCACGTCTGCGGGGTGCTAGTTATATATATATATATATATACACACATACATACAGACACCCTATGCCTTTCCCTTAGGCCGCCGACTAGTACCCGACCGCAACCCGCTCAAAATGAATCCCTGAACCTCTTCCCGAAATCCAGCCTGGCAGATTCTCCCCCCAGACAGATTTGAAGCAGTCCCGAATCTCGAAGCTGGCGCTGGATGCCGAAACCGATGAAAAGCCTTCGGAGCGGTTTCTTACTGTCGGTGTGAGTTCCTCCCCTGAGTCCTTAAGCTGCTTCAAGATTCCCACGATCTCGCCGCTCTGAGCGGTGTACGACGGATAGTAGCTCTGCTCGTGATGCGCCTGGACGAAGGCGGCGCCGGCCTTGAGCGCACGGTGGACGACGGCGGCCTCCTCCGCCGTCCAGCCCGCAGGGTGCGAGCCCCTTCTCGGAGATCGCCAGCGGTGAGCGACGAAAAAGGAAGGGACCTGCGGTCAGGAATGCCTGCATATCGTGTCGCGGCGGCGGCCCCTGCGACACGCTGCGCCTTGCAAACGGATAGCGTGTCGCTCCGCTCCGAGCGGCAGGGGGCTGGGAACAGCTCTGACGATTGACGCTCGGGAATGGAGACGTGGACAACTGGCGTGGCGCGACGTGTGGTGGGCAAGAACCAGCGGAACGACACGCTAAGCCAAAGTTCCTGACCGTACGCACGACGATCTGACAGCCTTACGCGGCGGCTTGCGCAGATCGCTCGCGCGGAACACCACGTGGAGGAGAGGGCGATAACGAGCGACATGACGCAGGCAGTTTGCGCGCGAATGTCCGCGCAGTCGGTCACATGTTCCTACGGTCGCTCGGGTGATCCTGGCCCAGAGTGGTCCCAACTGTTCGGGTCGCCCTTCGGGCGTGAGGTGGTAATACGGCTCTGGGTTGCGCAACAAACAGCGCCCCAAGGCAGTCCCGGCTGGCCTCAACAGGCCCCGAAAGCCGGGGGCGCTCTCAACACTCCAACCGTGCCGCGGAGCGCCCCAGGGGCGCCGGCGGAGGGGGACTATCTAAAGGGGGTGCCGCCCCAAGGTGTCGAGACCGTCGGGACTATCTGGGGGGGGGCGGTGCACCAGCAGCCCGAAGCGTTAACATCGAGAGGGGCTCTCTGGAGGCCACCTGGGCTTCCCCCGAAAAGCCGGGGCACCTAGGGCTGGGGCCACCGCTGGCAACATCCGACCTGTCGCTGG